ACGCGTGCAAGCCGGGCGGGTGCCGCCGAGCGGCTCTGTGCAAATACAAAGTCCGGTGCGGAAATGGGCAAAAAATGTTAAGCGGTAAGTGCCTTCTCAGGTCTGCTTTAGCGGCAAAGATCTCCTTTGCAGTAAGGAAGAGGCAAATGTCCCAAAGCTGTGGTGAGTCCGCCTGGTTAAACCCTGCCCGCTGGGGGAGGGGGGCGGCTTCTGCCGCCTGGGGGCGAAACCCAGGTAAATCCGCTTCTGACACCAGATATCGAGGTAAATAAGGATCAGGATAAACAAATAGGCCGAATAGATGTTTATTCAGGGAGAAATAACTTACAACCTAGACAGATGAACACCAGGAAATTCAACCCGATCCTCTCCTGTCCGAGTCACGCCAGAAAGAGCGCGCCTTTCCTGGCCCCCTCCGACCTCCTTCCACAGGTCACTTCCGCCCATCGCTCCACCCCCCAATGGGTGTGGTCAGTGCCAGAGAAGGACTATCTCACTACAATCAGGCTTGGCAGCAAACATCTTTATCCACAGAACCACCTCCGACCCCTATTTCTGTTCAGACAAGATCTCACTAGGAAGCTTAACAACCTCTAACCTGCAATTGTCCTCGTCTATTTCCCAAGTACTGGGATTACAGGCATATACCTCTGTGATAGATTTAGCTTTGAATTTCATATTAAAACCAATGACCCTTTTTGGACTTGAATGTAGTGTAAAGTATGGCTGAAAGCATTTCTGTATATGGATGTCCATATTATTAATATCACTCAGAAATGGTTGCCATATTCTCTTATTGAATTCCCATTCTGCATTTCACAAGAGTCATTTATTTTGCATTTTTTGGGGTTGATTTTGTATTCAATTTTTTTTTTATTAGATTTTCAATGATCAAACCATTCTTGCATTTCCTTGCAACACAATCTAGCTGCTTCCAGGATCTAGGGGTGACGCTAAGGCCTGGTTAAGCTTATGCCCTTCACTGACCACTGTAGTGAGATAGTTCTGTGGCACTGACCACGCCCATTGGGGGTGGAGCCATGGGCGGAGTGACCTGTGGAAGGAGGTCAGAGGGGGCCAGGAAAGGCGCTCTTTCTGGCATGACTCGGACAGGAGAGGATCGGGTTGAATTTCCTGGTGTTCATCTGTCTAGGTTGTAAGTTATTTCTCCCTAAATAAACATCTATTCGGCCTATTTGTTTATCCTGATCCTTATTTACCATGTTAGACCACATCACCCTCACCATCAGTGACTGATGCTATTGTCCTTCGTTAAGAGAAAACAAGACTCGAGAGATCATGGACATTCAAATAATTTTCTAAACTAAAATTCTAGGCCTGTCTCTTTAAGGCCTGGCACTTTCATCTTTAAAAGTCAACACATCTAATCTTTAAGAATTTATAAGAAATAGTTCAGTTCTTCCTCCTAATTAAGACCTGGAACAAGAACAAAGTCCCAAGTTTTTAGTTCCTAAATAGCTAGTGTAAAGTAACATGTCCTCTAGTGCTGTTTGTGTGAATAACTTAATTTCTGCTGAGTAATGGGCATTATTATAGTTGACCTGAAAGCACAGAGTAGTTTTTAATAACTCATAATCCATCACCAGGGGCTGTTGGGTCCTTGACATCCCTGTTTTAGGTCCATACCTTTTATATAGTGAGGATCATACCACATTTACAGTTTTATTTCTTGATTTTTTTACTTTATTATATCAGATCATTTTTGCATTTTGTTATGAACCCAAATGCATAATTCTTAATGTTACCATTCTATCCAAATATATGAATAAAAGTATCTCCATTGAACTATTTCTCTAAATATCTAAAAAGATTGTATATGCATATGTATGCACATATATGCACACGCATATACATATATGTTTATCCTAGATAGCCGTCACTGTGGGAACATTTACTTGTGTTTGAACTTTATCCAGTTTGATATGACTATTTCTAGAAATAACAATGAGTCAAAAGACATTCAAACACATTTCAGCACTTTATAATTTACCAATATTCCTCTGTACTCTATATATATATTCAAAAATATTGGTCTCCTCCCACCACCAAATAGTCTCAATAGAAAAACCTGCTGGCTGCAGGATGAGTTATTGTACTCAGCTCAGACATTTTTTTTCTTTAATGACTTTCAGTATAATTTCTGACAGCTAAAGAAAACAATAGAACTTGAATAAATCACAAGGACGTGTTCCTACCTATGTTAGGGGCAGTCATTTAACAAATACTGTGGGCCTGGAATTCGCTGACCCCTCGGGGTACAGCAGTAAGTATTGCAATGTGGTTCCTGCTCTCAGGGACCGTCGATCCAGGGAGACATCATGAACAGTGAACCATATGTCGAGTAAACCCCACCAGTGCAGGCTGACCTCTACCAGCAGACAGAACTGAACAGGCTGCAGAATGTGAGTGACAGGTAGGTAGGCCAAGGGCGTCAGCAAAGAAGCTGCGCAGCAGACCTCAAGGGCGGGACCTAGACTTGGCTTCCTGGAAGGTTAGCTAGCGAACTGCCTGGTCCTGCTCTGTGCGCCGCTCATTGCTGGTGACAGTCAGCCTCTTGTTTTCAAAGTGAGGGATTCCTCCATTCTTTGTGTATCCCAGCACTCCTGATGAGGAGCCAGCTTCCTCAGGTTGCCTTTGAGTGTCGTGGAATCAGCGAGATCGGCCATTTCCTGCCTTCTCTCCAGTCCAGCGTCCAGGGTGGAACTGGAGTCTTTGCTCAGCCTCCCCCAGGATCTAACAGACTCTTGGGTCTGCTGTTCCCTTTTTCCCGATGGGGAGGGGAGGAGGAGTAGTGGGAATGATAAGGAGGAGTATGTCCAAGTAAACTCATGCTTGTTAGTGAACAGAGAAAGCCCAGAAGGGGGGGGGGGTCATTCATTCATAATTCCTTTGTACAGAAGTGACATCATGAATGGGTTTCTTTGTGTTTTTCAATACTTGTGGGTTTCTTCTGTGCATTTGAAAATATAGAGCATTCACCCCCTTTAGCATAGACCCTGTGTCAGAGGAATTTCCCATGTTGTTGAAACAGTAATATTTTAAGTAGCCGTATGGATTCTTCACCTCAGCTAAGAGCCTCATAAACTTCCTACTACAACCTCTTTTTACCACAGAAATGTCTACGTGGTCCCTGGCACGTAGACGTAAAGTAGATGAGCAATCAGATACTTGCTGATAATAAATCATTGAATTTTTAAAAATAATTCACTTGTATACATACAAATTAATTAATGGAAGAGGAAAGCAGTGTTAAACACTAACGGCATGGGTGCACTTGTTTATTTTTATAAAAGAGTAAAAACCTGGGGCTGGAGAGATGGCTCGGTGTTAAGAGCGTTTACTGCTCCCCTAGCGATCTGAGTTCAGGTCTGCCCAGCACCTACAGTAGCACTTAACACCCACTTATAATTCCAGCTCCAGGGTACCTGTGCCCTCTTTAACCTCTGCAGGCACCTGCATGTGTACTGGCATGCTGCGAGAATGCGCATTCATGCACACGCGCGTGCACATGTGCGTGCACCCTCCTCCCCCACCAAGTTTAAAATAAATCTCTGTAAAAAACTAAACATTCGTTCCCAAACTGTTTGGTATTGCGGCACATAAAGCATCTTTAATATTGCTGAGGTGATTGACATTTTGATTTGATTTGATAGTTGTCGATGCCGAGAACAGTACTTCACCTAAACATCAGCACAAAATAGTCCAGGTATGTTTACTGCCATTTCGTAAATCTGTGATAACTCTGCCTAAACCCAAATCAACGCTTATCTAGTTATTTTTATGAAGTTAAAGTCAACCACTCAAATACATATTTTTAAATCAAATATTCTAACACAATACAGTCTGAGATACAATAATGTATTATATGCACTGGAGTGGCAATAAGTCTTTGTCTTTCGTAAGTAAATCATTAGTTTTCTATAAAAAGCAGAGCACTGGTGCGTACAGTAAAAGAAACCTAAACTCCGTAGCATACAGTAGTCTCGAACCTGAAGTGGGGATTTAAAGGCCGCGCTCATTGGGGCTTTGTGACATGATGGTGTGAGAATTAGAGAGCAGGCTGGTGTGTTAGGACCAGAGCTTCCCTTGATCCTCGCTTTTTATTTTGAATTAGTTCTGACGGTTGTGTATTCAGAACCTTGTTACTGTTGCCAAATATTTTGCAACCCCTTTATTTGGTTAGTCAGACCTGTGTAGAAGTTGTGAAACTGTGGTTTGGATGTGTTACTTACTTAGCTGTTTCTCTGGGATTGAGCAGTTCTCTTTTCCCGTTTGTTTGAAATTGCGCATTGCTGTTGTGAACGTGCCCACGCACATATTTGGTTTCTTGGGATGAAGTCCCTGAAGTAGTCCGTGGCTACAAATGGCATCTACAAATTTAATATGTCTAAGAGACTCCCGTAGAATCACTGACGTCTCAATTAAATGCTCCAAGCGTTCTATGGGGGAAATGTGGCTCAGTGTTGTGCAGGTCTGTCCAGCCTTCTAACACTGTGACAAGATAGTATCTTGCAAAGTTCATGCTTGATAAACCATGCAATTGAATTACAAAAGAAAGAAACATCCACCCAGACTACCCTCATGTTTTAAGCAAAGTTGTGGCTTTGCATTGGGCTGCACTGGCAGCTTCTCTTTGGGTGCCTGGGGCCTGTGACTGTGATCAGACATAGCAACTTGAAGATTGCCTCCTGGGTTTGAACCCTGCGCTACATAGTCACTAGTCTGAGCCCACCCTCCTAGGCACCACAAAAGGTTTGGAACAGTCCCTCCTCCTACCTTCTCCATCAGGCAGGCCTAACCCTGCAGATACCTTGCGGTAAGGCCTGGGTCCTGTTTGTTCCTTTGTCCCCAGTATGTGGCACACTTTGAGACATGTCCAAGCTATGAGTGTGTCCCATGGTGTTTGTAGACATCATCCCAGTGTCAGCGTGCAGACATCCCTGCAGGGCAGGCAATGCTCTTCTCTCCCTCTCTTGCAGCTCCCTGCCCTGGAGGACCAACTCACCACTCTTCTGGCCCCAGTCATCATCTCCTCCATGACGATGCTGGAGAAGCTCTCAGACACATACACCAGCTTCTCGACAGAAGACGGCAACCGCCTCTATGTCCTGCACCTGGTAACTATACAGCCCCGAGGCACTCAGTGCGCCCACACTCCACTTCTGTCCAGTCCTTGGGAGCCCGCGTGCCTCTTTCTTACCTTGGCCTGTACAGCTCTCTGGAAGGCAGAAACTACAGTTTAGCAGAGTCCCCAGGGCCTCTGAGACCTGGAAGGCCAAGGGAGTCCCCCGGGGACCAGCTGACACTACACTACGGCCCACAGTTTGGAGAGTGCCTGTTCATCGCCATCAATGGAGACCACAGTGAGAGCGAGGGGGACCTCCGGAGGAAGCTGTGTGTACTCAAGTACCTGTTCGAGGTGCACTTTGGGCTGGTGACGGTGGACAGCCAGCTCATCCGGAAGGAGTGAGTCTTGGGCCCCGGGGCTTCCTGGCATCAGTGCTCTGTCCTCACAAGGGGCTTTAGCTTGTCCTTCTGGCTTCTCAGAGAAGCTATTCAAACTCTCTACAGAAAAATACTCAACCGGGAGGTGGTGGCGCACGCCTTTAATCCCAGCACTCAGGAGGCAGAGGCAGGATGATCTCTGTGAGTTCGAGGCCAGCCTGGTCTACAACAGTTAGTTCCAAGACAGGCTCCAAAACCACAGAGAAACCCTGTCTTGAGAAAAAAGAAAAGAATCAGGATTGCCTGATTCACTAACAAGAATGGAAAAGTCACATGGTTTGAAATGCTGTGCTTGCCTTTGGAAGGGATGTGGGTACTGCTAGGTCCACCACACTGTTTTCATGGATCATTCTAGCCCTAGTGGCTGTGGTGTCCGTGACTGTGGCTGTAGCCATGGGTGCTTGACATAGCCACAGTGGCTGTGCTGGTTAATACCGAGTTTAACCCTGATTGTAGGCCAGGTTGTCTGTTTACAGAGCCCTGTAAGGTGCGAGGAACCTAGCAAACACAGGTGCCTTCTTGCCTCCTTCTGGCTGCCATTTATTTATTTACTTAAGTATTTATTTCAATGTGGGGAGCAAACTCACAGCCTTACCCATGCTAGGCAAGTACTCTATTACTGAGCCACATGTCAACCACTGCGTAGTCTCATATATCCATAGGAGAAGGAACCCACGGAATGGCATCATTTCCTCCTGGGGCCTGAGTTCTGGTCCCTGCCCATGCTCATAGCCTCTCTGCACACTGATGGTCGGATGCCGACCTGGGACAGGGTCCTTGGATCTGGGCTGGAGATGACCAGCTTTCCACCGATGCCTGCTGCCCCCGTTCTTCCCCAGGCTCCGTCCCCCTGACCTGGACCAGCGTGCTCGGGTGTGGAAGCACTTTCAGAGACTGCTGGGGACCTACAGCCACCTGCGGGAACAGGAGCAGAGCTTCGCTGTGGAGGTGACTGGGATCCAGGGGTCAGGTCACTGGAGGTGTCCAGTTGCAAGCATGGGCAAGAGGACCTAAAATTCTCCCAGGTGTCCTGTTCTCTCTGCCCATGCAGTGGACCAGGTACTCTAGTGTACCTTTCCATAGTGAGCAGCCAGACTCTGGTGAGAGTTTCAGGGCAACGTGTGGGGCTCACTATAAGTCACAGACCCCTCTGAAAATGGCCCCTTGGACCTCATTCCTCCCAGGGAAGAGCTACGTTGAACTTACACAGGAGTGGAAAGCAGTGAACAGAAATAGCAGGTGTGGCAGCTGGCTTTGGTCAGTTGTCCTCTTCACTCCCTTGTGGGCAAACAGAGGGTCCCTCTGTGGGTCTCATCACGACATTCATCAGAGTGGGCAGGTGGGCTCATTAAGGGCAGGGTAGTCCTCACCCACTCAGATTCTTGTTGGACAGAGCCAGGACAGCTCTAACAAGAGCCCAGTGATAGATACTGTGCAATCTCATCGTTCTTTGAAAACCTCTAAATTAGGCAATGGGGGAGGGGCTGTCTGTCTGCCTGCCTGCCTCTGTGTGGGTCTGTATGTGTATGTTTGTGTGCATATGTGTGTGTCTGTGCATGTGTGTCTCTATGTATGTCTCTGTGTGTGCATATAAAGTGTGCTCATAGTTAAAGATAGTCAGATATACAAGAAAATAATCCACCATAAGTGAGAGTTAGGATATCAGGCAATCAGTTACCAAAAGGTTTGTATACCAAGGAGTTGGAATTACTAGATAAAATAAAGATGGGGCTGGAGAGATGGTTCCTAGTAACCACGTGGTGGCTCACAACCATCTGTAATATGTCCCAGTGCCCTATTCTGGCCTGCAGTGCAGGCATGAAGAAAGAACACTGTATACATAATGAATAAATCGTTATGCATACATACATACATACATACACACACACACACACACACACACACACACATATATATATATATATATATATATATATATATATATATATATATGAAAGGTTACACCACAAACAGAAATAATAATAAAAGATTCCAAAATGGCCAGGCATATTTAAAAAAGAACTCTGGCAGATGGTGTAGACATGAAAGCTGATTGGTGAAACAGTTCGGGGGATGCTGAAGAACTAGTGAGACACGGCTGAAGAGTCTGTGAATTGGAAGTGGGTCTGGAAGCATTTGTTTCCGCAGCCCCGATCATTCACTGTGCCAAGAAATTGACCTACTGTGTGCAGAAGATGGGTCAGACTAGAAATGGACCTACTGTGTGAAAAAGATGGGCCAGGCTGTGATGCCTAAAGACACCCCCTGCTCCGGAGAGGAAACCAGATCTACATACAGTCTAAATACACAGGGAAGTGGCCTGCCACATCCCTTCTCCATCAGAACCTGTGACAGTACAAAGGGTGGAGTAGCCAGCTCTTTCTTGGGCACCAGGCAAGGCTGCTGTGGTAAGAGACCTGATGTAGTTTAGATGAAATCCAAACCCCTCCCCAAGCCCACCAGCCCTGGAGGCTCTGTCATTGCCCGTCTTGACCACCTTCCTGGCAGGCCTCACTATACAGCGGTGACATGGGCCATCCATCAGTCTCAGGACCCCTTGTGTCTGGTTCTGCGTAATGTGCTCGTAGCTTTGGACCATCTGAGATGCAGCTGGTCCAGACTCAGCTCTGCTGAGTGTGTAATGTAACCAAGCTTTGATAACGCTACAATGGATCTGACGAATAATGCCTTTGAACATCATTTTTCTATTATGTTGATAATAGTGTGTAAAAACCTCTTCACTTTTTTCTATTTGTTTATTGTGTGTGTGTGTGTGTGTGTGTGTGTGTGTGTGTGTGTGTGGTGACATCACATGCCAGGGCAGGTCAGAGGACAACCAATAGGAGTCAGTTCTCTCCTCACATTGTGTGGCTTCCAGAGGCCAACCATGGGTTATCAGGCTTGGCAGCGGGGACATTTATCTACTGAGCCATCTTGCCAGCCCTGAGAAATGTTCTCATTGTTCACAGCACCTACCTGCTGCTTTATTTGGACGGTGCTTCAGACTGTCTACATGTCTCCTTGTGTTCACTGCCTTTTGCTTCTTCTTCTCTGCTCTGACCGGCAGGTTTTCTGGTCCCTTCTATATCAGTTAGTTTAAAGGGACATTTCTTTGAACACTCTATTCCAGTGGGTCTCAGCTATTCCTCTCTAGTTCGGTGTCATGTGTCGCTGCTTGGCACACACTACATGTTCCCTATGCATTGTTTGCCTGCACTAGAGCCTGGACCCAGACAGGCTTGACTTTGGCCACCTTAGTCTCCCAGCTTCCCATACCTGGCATCTAGTGTTCGGGCTCCATGAGCTAAGGGAATGTACTCTCCGGCACAGGATGACATACTGACATGCTTTCCTTTGCTGCCAATCCCTGACTAGGCTGTGGAGCGGCTGATTCACCCCCAGCTCTGTGAACTGAGCATCGAGACCCTCGAGCGACACGTGGTTCAGGCTGTCAACTCCAGCCCTGAACGGGGCGGTGAGGAGGCCCTGCACGCCTTCCTGCTTGTGCACTGCAAGCTGCTGGCTTTCTATTCCAGGTAACTGTGATGGCCTGACCTTAGCCAAAACCCTTCCAGATCCTTCTCTGCAGATCCTTGACATCCTGGACCTGTCCCAGGCCCAGATCTCAAACCTCAGCCCACTCTCTTCTTGGGGTTAGTTCTAACCAACACTTAAAGTCCCTGGGGTCTTCCTGGTGGTAACTTTTGTTTTGTACACAATTTTTATGTTAACAATCGATAGGCTAATCTTTAAACCTTGTATGTCTCCATCAAGAATATAAGCTGCATATTCACAGGCTCCCCTGCTCTCTGTCTCTGCAGCCATGGTGCGGGCACCCTGCGCCCAGCAGATCTCCTGGCCCTTATCCTTCTGGTTCAGGACCTCCAGCCCACCCAAGACACCACAGAGGAGGATGACAATGATGACAACAGCCCTCAGGTTGTCAACAGGTCTCAGGACATTACAAGCAGAACAGAGGTGTTTGTCCTCTGACTCGTAAGATAGAAGGAGAATTCTGGAGTGGGTGATCGAGAGGATTGTGCAGACCAGGGAGTTGGTCCTGGTTCAATACTTGGATTTTTCACTTAGCTGTGTGAGGTTGCCACACACACACTTGCCAATCTTAGAGCCTGGAGTCCCTTGTCTGTGCAGTGGAGATACTGGGAACATGGTGGTGTCACTTATGCGGGATCTAAGAGGTAAAGGAGACAGACCATGTAGAGCCTGACAGTGCCTGACATCATATTAGCCTAGCCACATAATCACATCATCAGTGGTTCAGTCATCAGGCCTGGTTCAGATACCAACAGGTCAGAATTTCCAGGATCAGAGCACCCTGGACGCTAGCTCACAGAGCAGGGTAAAGAGGAAGGCATCTCTAAAGAGCTGTGGGAGCAGCCACATCAGCATCGCTGACTGCATTACCCCGCCTTCCACATTCTTTCCCTCAGAGGAGACCCGTGAGCAGCAAAAACATCCCTGTGCAGCAGGCTAGGAGCCAGAGCACCTCACGCCCCATGAGGAGCTCTGAGGAGACGGTATGTGCTGGGTGCTGGGAGGGCAACCCTATTTTGACTCAGTCCAAGTCACACCTTTCCAAGTATCCCCAGGAGAGCAGGTCCAGCTGAATCAGTTGGAAGAAGCCACCTGGCCTTTGGCCCTCATCTAATGTGATATCTTCTTTCCCAGGACACAGACAGCATCTCCCTCCCTGAGGAGTATTTCACGCCTGCTCCTTCCCCAGGCGAACAGAGTTCAGGTGAAGCCTGTGGAGTGGGTGGGGGGCACCATAGCGCAGAAGCCGGTCTGCAGCCTAGAGAATGCATCTTGGGGCCAGTGTCTCCTTGCTCCATGTGAAGGGCTAAACACAGCCACTCTGATGGCTATTCCTCAGCTCTGCTGACAGCCTATCTGTCAACCCCAGTTTGAATCCAAATGCGGCTAAGATCATGCAAGTGATCCTCAAGGCTCTATATAAGTCACTAACAACTGCATGTATGTGTTCTCTCTGTTCCTCTATCTTCACCATAATTAATATTTAAATTATTAAGTAAAATTAAGCAATAGTCCACTGGGGTTCAAGCACATGTCAGAGTGTAAATATTCAATTTCAGTGTTTTTTTTCTTCTTAACTCTACCTATTTTTCCAAGATCTGTAAGTAGTAAAAAATGCACTATTAACACTATTAATATTCAAATTGACATTTGAATACACAGCGATGCTTAGAGGAGGAGATAAGTCAAAAGCCAGGTTATTGCCATCACCAGGAAAGAACCAAGGTCTTACGATAAAACACAGGAGGTACCCTGTGGCTCACCCACCTGACAGAATGCTGGCTTTGCAGAAGCTATTGGGGACTATTTTTATAAGAGTTTGCTATGTACCTTCCCTAGGCCAGTGGCTCTCAGCCCTGGATGCACTCAGCATCCATAGCCAGCATCCATAGCCAGCTTCAGCAGCACTGTCTCAGTCCTCAGACCTGGGTGCAGGTGAGCCCTGCATGCCTCGAAGGGAGTTGTGCATGGAGCTGGGACTGGTGATTCTAGCCCCTCCCACATCTGGGCTCCCCCAATGATTCCCCAAACCACCCAAGCTGAGCTTGTGAAGACTCTGGCGTAGTTGGGCTGGGCTGTGCAGGGTTTTCTTACAAAGGACCCCAAGTGGCTGAAGTTGACCCCAAGTTAGGTGCTTCAGGACACCCGGGAAACCCAGAGACTACACACTGACTCACGTGCTGGAGCTTTCTGGGTGGGGAGGGTTTGAGCCACCTTCAGCTTCACTAAATATCCCATGACCCAAAGTATGATTGCAGGCTTTGCATGACCTTGGTATTCATGACACACCACCTACAGTTCTTTCCCTGTCCATCACAACCCTCTGTACTGCACCCCGCCCCCTTTCTGGGTGGCTGGGTTTGTATGCCTCAGTGCTGTTCATAATATTCTGGCATGCACGGATTACAAACAGAGCAAGTGTGTCCCTGGGTTTCCAACACATGATTTACAAATGGATGACTGCAGTGCAAGTCATTTGTAAACTGGGAGTTTCGTACATACCAGTGCATTCTGCATAGCTCGAAGCAGAGCCACCCTGGGTGGGGGTGGGGGGCTTATAAATGAGGGTTATTTGCAATGAAGTGCGAGAAAGGATAATGTTACAAACATGTAATATTTCAAATACAGTAGCTTCAATAGGCTGGCAAGCTCCCTAGGAAGGAAATCAAGCTCAATCTCCAGCACACAATGGGTGCCCAGCAAGTGAATAACTGAATGGAGAAATGCTGGCTCCCTGTGCAGGGCAACCTGAAGAGACAGGGAGAAGAAACAAGGAGGCGGGGTGGGCATGAGGAACGTGCATGCTCCCACCACTACACCATGTCCAGACACCTGCCACAGGCTGTTCCCAGCAGAAAGCTTCTGTCGCTGCTGCTTTAACCCTGGAGATGCAGAGATCAGCTAGCACGGGGGTGGGGGGGTGGGATAGAAATGCAGAGTCCAGCTGGCACCGGGGAGCTCTGAGGGAATGGCTTTCTGGGGCTATGACCACAGGAAATGGCCTTGGCATACCCAGTGCTTGGTGCTCGAACCGTCAGTGATCAAGACCTCCTAAGCTGCAGGAGTGGGAGACGGGGCTGGGGGGTCACCTACACTCTTGTAGCATTTGCATGGTTTTCTTCTCATTTGTGGCAGGTAGCATCCCCTGGCTGGATGGTGGTACCCCACCCACGGATGCTCTTCAGGTGACTCTCCTGTGTCCCCCTGTGTACCGCTGCTCTGGGATGCTGAGGGCTAAGGCTTCTTTCTGGGTGACCCCACCAGCCCCAGCTGCGGCCACACTGCCTCCTTCAGGCTCTCTACTGCAGCTCAGCATGGAAGCAGGGCTGGGCGAGCAGTGTAGGTGGCCTCCCCAAGTTCTTGGAAATGAAGGTCCAGCTTAAGTTTTAATACTAAAAAAATTAAAGTTTAGGTATTTTCCTTCTATTTAGATATGAGAAGCAACAAGTCAAATATGGAAGGGACTGAATATCACTCATTCCCACCCTCAAAGATGGAAAATTTTTCAGTGCTTCCTACTAGACATTTATTATTTTACACACATGCATGCACTCACAAACACTGCATGAACACGTGTGCATACCGTATGCATTTTTCTTTTTCACACTTGGAGCCTACTGTACTTCACTGTCCTTTTTCCTGACACAGTGTCCTGGTACCCAGAGCCCTTCAACATCATGGCTTGTGAGGGTGTTTGGAGAACCCATCGATGCGCGTGCTACTGTGTCTTCTGCAAGTCCCAGAACAATCAACACGTGGCTCCCAGTTTTTATTATTGTGTATAACTAGACTGACCTCCTCACAGAGAGATTCTTGTGATGTCTCTAATGATTTCTGTAATTCTCTAATTTCTCTCACTAAAAGATTTCTTATGCACACAGAGCCCTTTTGCCCCCACCTCTGAAGTCTTTTTCTTAGAGTCACTTGACTCAGTTTCCCCGGTGTGGAATGTTCTGAGGGTGACTAGAAACGTCAAGCACATTAAAGTTCCTTCCTCTCGCTGAAAGCAGAGTTTTCCCACACCCAGCTCTGTGTGGCTTCAGATGGCCCTTGACTACCCACCCAGCTCCCGCACCACCTCCCCCCACCCACTGTCCATCATGGCATCCAGTCCTGACTGGACAGAACGGCCTAGCAGAAGCTAACAGTCAGATAGCAGAATGAATGGAAGCTTCTAGGGCAGCTTCAGTGGCACAGAGACCCCAGGGCTGGTTTTTCTGGGCGCTAAGCATATTTGTTCCTTGTGACTTATAGGCTGGGGAGGGAACAGAAGCCATGGGTGGGTGGGGTCCAAGTTGTAGAAAAGCCTGGGCCTTTCTTCCACCAGATTGACAGACCTTCCTCCTGCACAGGTGGCTGAGGGCACCCTCCAGGGGCTGGTGCCGCACTCCCTGGAACCTTCCAGCCCCAGAAGGATCTTCCTGGATGCCAATGTGAAGGAAAACTACTGTCCCTTAGTGCCCCACACTATGTACTGCCTGCCCCTGTGGCCGGGCATCAACATGGTGCTGCTGACCAAGGTACAGAGCTTGTGTCTCACCCTAGTAGCACCCAGGACCTGCCTGGCCTCTCGCTGGCTGCCCCATTCCACCCTGGCACCCACTCTTCCTGGCAGAGTTCCAGCACTGCGCTGGCCCTGGTTCTGTACCAGCTGCTGGATGGCTTCTCCCTGCTGGAGAGAAAGCTGAAGGAGGGTCAGGAGCCTGGAAGTGCCCTGCGGTCCCAGCCCTTTGTTGGAGACCTGCGCCAGAAGATGGACAAGTTTGTCAAGAATCGTGTTGGACAGGAGATTCAGGTAAGACCCGGATGCTGCACACACCCAGCTTCAGAGAAGAGACAGAGCTAGCAGTGGGCCCGGTCCATCCCCAGTAGACGAGGGGTCCACAGCTCAGGGTCCTGTCCATGTTTGCCTCTGTCTGTGGCCCTAGTTGTCCTCATGAAATGATAAAAACCAAATGGCTGGACTTTTGACATTTTCGGAGTCTCTTTATAGGAATTGGGCAGAACTCAAATTGTAATCCCAGTGCTTTAGACAGGACACTGGCTTGCTTAGCTAGCCATGATGTAGCCAAGAGCAGCTGGCCCGTGAGCAGTGGAGCCAGAACCTGCTCATCACGGGGCAGTCTCCCAGCTGGCCTCATGGAGAGTAGAGCTGGGTGCAGACTGAGACCAAGCACTGAGCATATGGGAAAGTCAGTGAGCAGGCCATCACAGGCCCCCATCAAGGCCCTCCTCATGGTGGCAAAGTTCTAGAACAGAAGGCTCACTGATAGCTTGGGACCTCTGCTGTAGCTGGCTCTGCCCGAGTCTGTTTGAGGAGCTGGAACGTGAGCTAGGGGAGGGAGAGCAAGTAACCAGAGCCTTGACTTGTCAGCGCAGTGCCCTGAGCATAGTGGTGGCTTGTCAGTGGTCCGCACACTATCCTAGGTGTCCTGAGCATCATGGTGGCTTGTCAGCAGCACACAGTATCCTAGGTGCCCTGGGCATGGTGGTGGCTTGTTGGTGGTCTTCACAGTATTCTGGGTGCCCTGGGCATCACAGTGGCACGGCCATTAGCAGGCTGGCTTCTCACCTTGGTGAGAGTCAGCCAGGATCCCCTTGAGGCTGCCCCAACCCATCCCCGGGCCACCTGCTGCAGCCACTTCCCTTCAGTCCCTCAGCTTGTCGTGCTCCCTTGAGGGACTTACCTAGTCCCTCTAATGGGTACATGCCAGTGCCCATCAAGGCCACATGGCTTTCACAGCCCACAGAAATTCTTCTTTACGTCCTTCCCTGCTAAGTGACTGCCAAGACGGCCAGATTTGGCTGCCGGAAGGCAGGTGTACCTGGAGCGTCAGGATGTAGATGGGGTCTCCCTTGGACCTCCCTGCAGAACATGACCCGGAATAGACCTGTTACCCTTCTTTACAGAGTTCCTGGCTGGAGTTTAAGACCAAGGCCTTTTCTAGAAGTGAAGCAGGATCGTCCTGGGAGTGAGTAGCCACACTTGGGGTGAAGGGGGGTTGTTCGAGGAGTTGCAAGTGACAGAAAGGCTAGACCATGGGAGGCTGGAGGGGAATGAAGGCCAAGGGCATGAGGTCCTAGCACCAAGCCCTGAGGCCTGGGCTGTACCCAGATGCCACACTGAGCAGGTGCCATGTAAGGCAAGTCACATTCCCAAATATTAGGAGGAGATGCTGTGTGGCAAAAAAAAAAAAAAAAAAAAAAAAAAAAAAAAAAACCCACCACTAGGGAAAGCCAGGCCGCCGCCTCCCGGTGCAGTAGGATGTGCAGCCAGAGGCGTACATGTCTTTCCCTCTGTGTCACTGCCCAGGCTGCTGCAGGCCTGTGGAAAGCTGAAGCGGCAGCTGTGTGCCATCTACCGGCTCAGCTTCCTGGTCACTGCGCCCAGCAGGGGAGGCCCACACCTGCCCCAGCACCTGCAGGAGCAAACCCAGAAACTCATGAGGTAAGTAAGGGCAGGTTATACCAGGGAGCAGGGGTGGGCGGGGCTCTCCCCGGCAGCCTACCTTCCCTCTCCCCTCTCCAGAGAGCGACTGCTGGACTGGAAGGACTTCCTGTTGGTGAAGAGCAGGAGGAACGTCACCATGGTGTCATATCCTCTGCCTGGAGTCCCCGGGGAGCAAGGCCCCAAAGGAAGCTAGAGTGTGTTCTCCTGCCCTGCTGGCCCATGCACCCATCCATAGCAATAGCCCAAGGGTGAAATCTCAGGATCTGCTGCTCCAGAGATATCTGAGACGTCTTCGGGAATGGTTATGTCCCAACGGCAATCCTATTCCATGAGGGCCAGGATGCTCTACTTGCTTTGAGACCTCCATGGACGGTCAAAGTGCAACGGCAGTAAAAGCACTGGGAAGGCCCACCAGACCTGTGTGTCCCTGTTTCCAAGACCTGTGCATTAGAGGAACTGGTTTTATTTATAATGGTTTTCGGGGAGGTTGGAGCAGCTTTTCTTGTTTAAAATCCCTCACGTTTCTGGGCTCAGTCTCTGGGATTTTGGTCTTTAGCAGGAAGGCAAGCAGGAAGCCAAAGGCCCCTCATCCACAGGCCACTGCCCTTCCGTGGGAGTCTGTCTCCCTCTTAGATGTGATGAAGAACAAGATCACGTTGAGGGGTTGGCGGCCAGCCAGGCTCATTCGTCAGCTACGTGGCTCTGTTCACACACCAACCTCAAGCTGTGTGTTGTTCCTGGAACAACCAGCTGTGAACACGCCGTCTTCCTTCCCGTAGAGTGCAGATTGTATTAAATGTGCAGGTGCCCAGAGTCTTAAGACTGGATGGGGGCGGCTGAGGGAAAATGAGATCCTGGGCCTTAGTGGAGGCAAAAGCTTGTGTAAAGAGGCAGCCTGGAGCCCTAAAACTCACCTGTGTAGATTTGGAACCCCATGACCAGGGCAGAGGCACCCCCCACTGTCCCCCACTGCCACTGGCTTTTAAGACCCTTAACTCAAGCCTTCACCTACCTGGAGGACTTCCCAGGCCTGGTCCACTTCATCTATGTGGACCGTACAGCTGGGCAGATGGTGGCGCCTTCCCTCAGCAGCAGCGAAAAGATGTCTTCCGAGTTGGGCAAAGGGCCCCTGGCAGCCTTCGTCAAAGCCAAGGTAACTGCTTCTCTGGCCCAGTTTCTCCTTGCTGCTTGTCGGGGTAGGATACATTGAGGCCTGACTCCCAGCCCAGGAGAAATAGGCCGTTCTGGTCTCTGAGGCTCTAACCACTTCCAGTGTAGCACTGCTATGCTTGTCCACCATTGCCTGTGAGCCTGACTACGTTTGCCATGAGCTCCTAGGCTCAGCCGCTGGGCCTCCAGGCCCAGAGGGCCTCAGCACGTATTGTCAGCCACTCCTGTGTATTCGATATGCCTGACATCCACAGTGCTGGAGCCAAGTCAGCCAGCACCCAGCACAAGCGAATCCTCAGCAAGGACCTTTGGTCCAGAAAGGACATCAGAGTCAACCAGTGTGGGCATCAGAATTTTGTAACAAGTCTTTCTCCGTCCCGCCAGCCAGCTCCCAAATAATAACACAGAAACTTCTTACTAATTATAAAAGCTCAACCTATAGCTTAGGCTTGTTCCTAACTAGCTCTTGTAACTTAAATTGACCCGTTTATATTTATCTATGTTCTGTCACATAGCGATACCTCTCTTCCATCTTGCACCTCCTTTTTCCTCTCCCTATCTCCTGGCTTCTCCCCTGTGCCTTGAGTCCTCCTCCTCATCCCTCCTCTTCCTTTCTTTTCCCAGAAATCCTGCCTAGCTATTGGCTGTTGGGCTTTTTTATTACACCAATCACAGCAATCACTTTCACACAGTGTGCAAATATCCCACCACAGGTACTAAACCAGCACTCTGCCCCTGAGCTACAGCCTCACCCGGCCAAGTGTAGAACTAGGCGATTCCTGCTAACGGAGCATCTTTCTCTGCTCCTCCCCCCTTTACCTGACTCTTCTTCATGGCAGACTGGTAGTTTTCTTTTTGAAGAAAAGGGACACCCCTGCCATTTCTAAAATGCTGTCTTTTTCTTTTATCCACATCAAGTGTATCATGATAGGTGAAATAAGCTGGATGATGGGAGGCAGGTATTGGAAAGCCAGCTCTGTCCTTGCTGTCTGTGTGGCATTGGCATGGTTTAGTGACATTTCAGTTCCTTTTTAGTTCAAATATCTGTTATGGAGATGATACAGTTTACCATGTAATCTTAGTGTAACAGGTGGAGGTCACTAAACACAGGTGAACTCACAGCACTGGGGCAAAGTAGAAACGGAGCGTGCTATGCACAGCCCAAACAGTCATCTCCCTCACTACCACCCATTGCCTCTGCATCCCGCTCTGGGTGGGGGTGTAGGACTCTAGCCCATCGTTCTTCATTGCCTTCTTTAAGGTGTATCCTGAGACTTCTCCCTCTGCAGGCACAGGGCTGTGTAACAATTCTTCACTCTGTGTCAGGTGCAGCTCATCCTGCTGTTAACTCTTTCCATGCCTCATCATTGGCAGCCCCCCCCCCCCCGTGATGGCCCATCATGCAGATGGTGGCATAATTCACAAAGCATTCCCTGCTGAGTGAACCTTTAGATTGTCTCCAGACTGTCACTATTGTAAATGATCTGTGGACACACCTGTGCAAATGCCTAAGTCCTCATCCCTGGATGTCTTCAGTGTGTTCCCCAGAAATGCAAGTGCGAAGTCAGATGGGAGGGGATGTTATTAAAGTTATCTATTTGTGTTGTCAGGCTGTGTTCCTGGAGCTTGTAGCTGGCTCCTATGTCTGTTGCAGACTTAATTAGATAGTACATTATGGTCAAGGGCAAAGTAAATCCCACATCCCTTCCACTGAGGCTTTTTGACAGAGTAGGCCATTTCTCGGCCCTGGCATGAAGTGGGCAAGCCTACTAGAGAAGCCCTTCCCTCGGGCTGCTCTTGGGCTACCCAAGTATCAGAACCTACTTTAGGCAGAGAATTCCCAGGGAGGGGCCTAAAGCAGGAAGTCCCTCGGGGCCTCGGATTCCAGCCCCCCCCCCCCACAATGAAGCTGCATTTGGGTCTGCCCTCCACCCCATGCAGGTGATGCCGCAGCTCAGGGTTCACTGTACATTCACATGTGCGCCCCCCCCCCCAGTGCCTCTGGTGCAGAGCCAGTAGTACCGTGAGTCCTGCAGGCCTCATCTGTTTTCTGAGTCTCGTGTGTGTGTGTGTGTGTGTGTGTGTGTGTGTGTGTGTGTGTGTAGTGAAGTTGCACAAAGCACTTCCACATGTATTTTATCCCCACAGCAGCCAGAGGGGGAGCCAGCCCTTCTGACATGACATCCTTCCTATAATGGTTTGCTCCCACTGCTCTGAGCCCTGCCTCTGAGATGTCCTGGACTCCCAGGATCTCCTCAGCTCTGTGAGAGCGGAGCTAAGCCATCTCCTCCTCCCCAGGTCTGGGCTCTGGTGCGGCTGGCACGCAGGTACCTGCAGAAGGGCTACACCACACTGCTGTTCCAGGAAGGGGACTTCCGCTGCTCCTACTTCCTGTGGTTCGAGAATGACATGGTGGGTTTGCCCGGTCTCTGGCAGGACGGTCCTGAGAGCTGTCTGCTGCTCTAAACCCTTGGGAACCTTTCTTCTGCGCTGTCCCATCTGTCTCTCTCATCTCCTCCTGCCCCTGGTGAACAGCAGGTGAGCACAGCACAGGGCAGTAGGGCCATCCAGGTAGATGTGAGCTGACAGGAAGCACTCCCTATTCAGAGAGGGTGTTTTGTCCTGATAGAATCTTCTGCTGTACCTACCTCAGTATTGCCACCTGTGTATACAAAGAAGGCTACACCATGACCTCCACTGTCCGGGAAGACCCAGGTTCAAAGCAGTTGACCTTCCTGCCCAAGGGTTGCTTCCAGCAGGGCCCCGGTCTCTAACCGGCCTGTGCAGTACTGTAGACCTTATGCCACCATAGTACCACGAGGTCATTGGAAGTCACTGCCTCCCCCGTCCCTGCCCCCTTCTATTCCTCTCCTCCTTAACCTTCGCTCTCACTTATTGACAGTTGTCTAAGGTCACTCCTCGCCCTCGGGGTCTCTTGTCCTGTCCTGTACCCTTCCTGCCTCGTGCTCTTTTCTCTCCACTCACTCAGCCTTACTATAGTGCAGTGTAGTTTCTTAACTGTCCCTCACAGTCAGGGGGGATGGTTGGCATAGGTTCTGTTGACCCATTTTACAGATGGGGGCACACTGCTGTCTTGGAGATAAACACCGTGGCTAGGTCCACAAAACTCAGATGACAGAATTAGAACCCAAGGATTGCTGCTCTGGTCCTTTAGCTCCTAGTCTCCCTAAGTGCCCTCCAAGTGCTAAAGCTTCTAGGGACAATGTGTAGTGCCTAGAGTGGCCCCACAGGGCAGCGGGGTACGACGGAGCTGGGGGAGACCAGCTTTTTATCACTGACTGTGACAAGCCACACAAGGGTCTCTGAACACTGCTGTGCCATCTCCCTATGGGGAGGTCCTCATGGTGGCACCACCTGAGCCTCTCTGGGAAACTCCATAGGCATCCTGATAGTGCCAGTCAGGGTGCACACGCTTTACAGATCTCCCGTCTCTCCTCACCTTGTCCTGCCTCAAGAAGTTCCATTTCTTTCAAAGCAGAGGCTTGGGATCTTTTGAGAATCCTTAGCCTCTCAGGACCCTGACAGGCCCCCCTTCCACCCATCCGTACCCCTGTCCCTCTCCCTGAGCCGTTTTGAACTCCTCAGTAACCCAGCTCTAACTGCAAAGTGTAGTCAGAGTTGAACACTGGACCACACTCCTGTGCTCCTGTGTCTAAGGTGACGGTGGTTGTGTCTACTTCCCAGGCGAGAAAGCAAGTAAAAAGAGATACAGATGCTGTCCCCAGCATGGGGCACATACAGATAGGGCACGCACAGCATAGGACACACATAGACAGGGCACACAGCCGGGCCCTGCCAGGGCTCTGCCTCACACATCTCCCTCAAACCCACCCTCTGCTCCCTTCTGTCCTAAGACTTTGTTCCTCCTCCCACAGGGCTACAAACTACAGATGATTGAGGTGCCTGCCCTCTCAGATGACTCCATCCCCATCGGAGTGCTGGGAGGTGACTACTACAGGTGATAGTGACTCGCCCTAGAGTCCCACTTGACTCAAATTCCCATGGGCAATAGCCTTTCCAAGAGTGAGCCTGGTGAGGAGGGGGGGGAATCCCACATGGATAGAGGAAGCCCCCAGAAGCACACTCAGGTCCCTACTGTATACACACACACACACACACACACACACACACACACACACAAGCTAAAACACCACTGTTCAAGAATAGAGAGGGACTGTTGAGCTAGAGTTTAACAGCAATCGGTACTAACACAGTCTAGGTCATTCTGTGAGGACTGTGGGACCGGCATTTTGAGGCTGGCCTTGCCTGAGTTTTGTCCTGTCTCCTGCAGGAAGCTCCTGCGCTACTACAGCAAGAGCCGCCCCTCGGAACCTGTCCGTTGCTATGAGCTACTGACCTTGCACCTGTCTGTCATCCCCACTGACCTGCTGGTACAGCAGGCCAGCCAGCTGGCCCGGCGCCTGGGGGAGGCCTCCCGGGTGACACTGCCCTAGGCAGTGTGTACTGTCCTCTGACTCATCTGTAAGCCACCTTGCTTACAGGCATTCCCAGCAGCCCTGGGTCCTCCTGCAGAGGTTGACTCCTCCACAGGGGTTAATAAGCAAACCTTCTCTGAAGGGAGGGAATGCTGTGCTTGTTGTCCTTCAGCAAGGTGTGGTCAGAGGCAGCAGCAGCTTCTCGGGAGAACTGACTCTCTGGGTGCCCAGGAGAGCAGAAGAAAGTGTCTAGCGCTCAGGCCGTGGAAAGCTGTCCTCTTCCTGCCATTTTGAGTGGGGGAGTTGTCTCCTACTCAAATGAAAGGTGCTCCTGCCACCTGGCCAGCATCCCAGCTTGGCTACCTCCCCCTGAAACTCTGGAAGAATCCTGTTTGAACTAGTAACACCTACCTCTCAGGGTGGTCAGGAGGATTGCCTGCCTAACAAGGAGTAGGTTCTCAATAAATGTTGGTTCTTGTCACTATCCAAACCGTATGTGTTCACCGGGACCTCCACCTCACTCCTGCTTGGTCTGGAGAGCCCCGTTTCTCTCTCTCCAAGCCCCGCCCTCTCAGAGAATCTCCAACAAAGGAAAGACGAGGAGAGCCCAGCTCCACATTCGTGGTGGCTATGGCAGCTCCTCCCCTGAAGTTGGCAGCAGCCGAAGTCCCCACCTAAAGTGCTCAGTGTTTGACCATACTTGGGCCAAACACAGCTTGTGGTAGACAAGCCATCACCCCTTGCCCGTAGGCTATATGAGCTTCCTGCTTCAGTTCAGGTGTGTGACTTCCCTGGTCCCAGTCTCTGGGACTGGAGGACTCACCTGGGAGTTGCTTTGCTCAAATAAACCTGTTCTTTCACTTTTTCAGTTTGGCTTGCTCTGGCTTACTGTTGGCAGTGGACTATTATCGTGATACAGAAAACCTATTACTATGTACTTGTGTGTCTTGCCTTTCTTGTGACAATGAGAACCCCTTGCTAATTCCAAGCCTGCTCTCCCCTGCCCTAGGGCAGTTGTTCTGAGACCTGTGCCCAATTCCCTTGGCCCACGTGAGACTGGGCTCTGCTGCTCCCCAGAAAATCAGCATGCCCAGAGAACTTCCTAGGGGCACAGCCCTCCCTTCTAACCAAGAGGTACCTACTTCAGGATAGACACAAGGACCAGAGACCACCAGAATGTTGGGGCGCAGCCCCGCTTCTCTCAGACCAAGGGGTAATGCCTGGATGAAGGGAAATTCGTGGTAGAAAAGTATGTCCACTATGGGAAGTGGTGGGCGCCCTGATGAGTGCAAGGCCCAGCCTCAGGTATCAGACTTGGGCTAAAATCCCTGCAGTGAAAACTCATCTGTAGGGTCCAGCTTTGGGGAGAACAGACACTGAGAATAAGGTCCTCAAAGGGTGGCAGTGAGAAGCACTGTCAACAGGGGATGACTCTGTGGTCCTCCTTCACACCATGCCTTGATCCGGTTCATTTTCTCTGGCATTTAAAGACTTAAAAAAGGCAGGGAAACAATCTTGAGAGCCCCAGGTAGCAGAGAAATAAATTCTCAAACACAGTAAACAGCAGCAGACAGAATCAACAGGTGAAGAGAGCTTTTATTGGTGATAAAGAAACATGCCCAAGCAAGGCCCACACAGAGAAAAGAAAAGACACTGCAACGTAGTGGGCACTCGGGAAACCAAAGGGCTGACCAATTTAGGGTTGGTCAGTTTGGACAAGAAATAGGGCGGGGAGGCTGAGAGAGTCACAACTTTGGGGTAAACAGGGCCTGGGCTGGTCTTGAACTACAGAGAAAAGGCCTTGCTTTTGTTTTAAGTTGCCAGGGATTTTCTTCTTGTCTCAGGACGAAAGCCAACCATCTTGAAAGATCACAGTTTTTATTATCTAGCCATGGCCCCTTCCCCTGTCTGCTGTCTGTCTTCTGGGTAGGGGTGGGGAGGTGGCTGCCCTGCTCAGATTGCAGCCCGCTCTGCTTCCAACGCAGCCCATAGGGGTCCCCCATTCGAGACAGGAATAGGGGTACCAAGGAAGCACACTAATTGGGGTGATTTGCAGGTGTGAGCTTGAATCCTTGGGAAAGGTACGAAAACAGAAATGTCCAGACTTTCAAAGGAGTTACCCTCAAGAATCACGACAGTGTAATTGCCCTCTGCCCAGCAGATTAACCTCACTGGGGCTCTCAGGGAAGTAGATGGCCTTTTCCGTTGACCAAAGGACCTGACCCTGGTCGTACTGAAAGGTGGTTGTGGAGGTCCACACGGAGCAGCTGCCACCTTACAAGATCGGACTCTACCCTGAAAGCAGGAGTGAAGTCTGACTTGACCGTGCCCCTCCCACTGGGCATGATCTCTGCCCCGCAGCACCTAGGCTTTTGAAAGGAAGCTCAGGGAAGGCGGGGCCTCTGCTTTGGCTCCACCCCTCCCTCTGAGCCCTTTTCAACTGTACTCACTTTGTTCCTTGCACCCTTGAGTACTGGAGGTTGCACAGACTCTGATGATACTTAAGCTACCCGCCCCTTTCCCAAGTCTGGCATGCGCAAACTCAGAGCAGCAGAAACCCAAGCCCTGGGAAATGTGGCCCAAGGCCAAGGCAGACACTGGGCTGTAACTCCTAGTCCCTCCCCGTCCTGGGCCGCTGGAAAGCTGACTGCAAGCAAACTGCTGGGGGCAGAAATGGCTGCCAGCCGCCGAGGTCTCAGCAGAGCTTTGCACTCTTCTCCCTGCCCCGCTTGGAAACGAGCTCAGCCTGGAGCCAAGCGGCGCCTGAAACCCGAGTACGATGCTGTGGTGATAGGAGCAGGTAAAGCTAACGAGGGCAGATCCGGAGCTCAGAGAGGGAAGACAGCAACCTACCCATAGACCTTTGTGGGGTCCTCCAGGGAGCCACCTGTAGTCTCAGCTGTGGGCACTGCCTGGCCAGGGGTCCCAGTGTGCAGGGTCTATGATGGAGTTCCCGTGATCTGGGAGTCACCGGCCCTTGGTTCTGGTTCCACCCTGGGCCTGCTGTGTGGTCTAGAACGGTTCTTGCCTTCTGGGTCTAAATCTTTCTGTCTAGAATGACAAGGAGGACTAAGTAAACTCAGGAGCTTCCCTCTGTTTCCGGTGCAATGGGTGAGTTCCCTCCTCTGCAAATCTGTGAGTTCCCTCGGAAAGCATATGGTACATAAGGGTTAGGAAGAAAGCACCTAGACTGAAGGTAAGAGAAATCCTGCCACTCCGAGCCCTGAGTTCTGGTCCCCGTCTCACCACTGAGGTCACCCTTCCAAAGAGGAAAGAGTTGATTCATAAAGAGAAGAGGGATGTTTTTGGGGGGTGTCCCCGACACCCTGTTGTGCACCCACAAATGATGCCTTCCCCTGGCGCCTTCCCTCAGACATTGACACCTGTCGCCGTGGTGGTTCTGCAACAGTTTGCTGACTCGGGCTCAGAGCACTAAAGGGTGCTAGGCACAGCTTAGTGCCAGGCTGCCTTCCACCCCAGGGGCTTCGGTTCACACTCTTGGGGCCTGGAGGCATTTATTTACAGCTGGGCTCTATATAGATGATAGCTGGTTCACACCTCCATGAGCACAACAGCACAGCTTTAAATGCTGGCCTGGTTAGGCTTCTTTGTGTGTGTGTGCTGGGAGCCATCCTCTCCAATGTAGACACATGTGGGTGTTTATGATGGACACTAAAATAAAGGTGTCTCACAATTTTAGAAATCAAATATTCACTGCTCTTGATTTAAATACCATGTCTTTTGATTGAGAACACGTTGACCCAGAGCACCATATAGGGAGTGAACCTTGAAAAGGGTTGCAGAGGGCCCAAGATCAGCAAGCTGCATTCAAGGGCCATCAACTGTTGAGTGGGCATCCCTTGAGGCTGGGGGATTAGTAGCAGTAGGGGGACAGGTCACTAGAAGCCACCAGAGAGTCAGCCAGCCAGGAGCTGAGGTAGGATTCTAACTTTTAGATCTTTGTCATTTGAATGCAGTTTATCCATCCATGGCTGAGTTGGGACCAGTTGGCCAGGGAGACTTTAGTAGTTTTCCGAGATTGATAAGTACCACTATTAAAAACCCAGATTGCTGCCATCTTTGTTATGGCCCTGCAACAGGCTGAGTTCTTCTTGGACACTACTGATCCTCCTCCCTCAACACGGCAAGGTTTCATATTCACATGAAGAACGCATGTTACACACATATTACTCCCTGCCTTGCATATGAAGGCAGCCACTGGTTGTTAAAGGCCTCTCTGATGCGGAGAGGTGGGGTGAGGAGCTGCCTGCCTGGAACTTACATGCATGTTCAGAGAATGGCTTCTCCACCTGCAGGCTCAAACCAATGGCAGGCCCAACAAGCATTATTTTAAACTTTCTTATGAAACATTTCTAACATTCTTAAAATAAAACCACATTAGTCTTATCACAGGATGGGTTAATGCTAGGGCATTGGTTCCATGAAAACATTAGTTAGTCAGCCGTGTGCCAGGTCATGGTACAAGGTACATTTCTGCTTGTGAATCGTGAGCAAAGGGGCTTGAAAAATCCAGTTTCAGAGGACTCCACTAATGGATGAGAAGTTGGTTCAGTGACCTCTAAAATTCAGGCCGTCTCCATGTGGGAAATTTGAAACAAAAACAGCTCAGCTATGGAGAAATTCATCTCAGGGGTCATTGCTGTTCCCCATCTTGTGGACATTTGTCAGATGAAGAATTGAGTTTTATTTGCATCCACAGTGGGTCCAGGTAGGGGCTGGGAGATCACAACCACCTACTGACATCAGAAAGGCTAAGAGCGGCATCTATAAGAATGGCGGGAGCCCCCAAAGCTGGCTGATACCCTCTGGGCCTCTCTGCCTGTGAATGACTCTCTACCAACAGCTGAGCTGTCCCACAGGAGGGAGCAGCCTGAGGCCTGGGCCCTCAGTGTAGCTTTGTTGCCGAGTGCATGGGAATTACCAGGAATGTGGGAAAAAGTCAGGTCCCCAACCTGGAATGGAGCCTACCTTGTTCCTGGTGCCCACCTTGAAGCTATATATGCGTTAGTCACTTAGATCTTTGTTTTTGTTTTTCATTTTGGACTATTAATATTTCCTTGGAGTACTGGGGACTGACAGAGATATTCCCGTGTGGACAAAGCCCTTCCTTAGGGGCACAACTGTGCCTGGTATGAGCCACACGTGGGTCAAACAAGCTCTATGTGACAACAACTGTCCCCTGAATGGCATTCAGCTGTCTGAATAGCCCTGCCCACACTACCAACAAGTGGCCACCTCCCCTGTAAACCATGATGGTTCCATACACGGTCACCAGCTCCCCGTAGGGACAGAAGTTCAGAAACTGTGGAACTTCCCGTGACCTTGAAACAAGGAACAGAGATTCTTCCAAGCCAATGTCGTCAGAACCAGGGGTGGGTTTCCTGACTCCCCCCATAAGATGATGCCTGGCATCCAAATGTGGGGCAGGGGAGAAGATATCTTTGGCTTGGGGACAGGAATGGGGGCTCAGCATCTAAAGAGCTTGCATTCAGTAACACTTTCTCTCTTGTCTAATTGCAGGACACAATGGGCTGGTGGCTGTGAGTATCCATTTGGTCCACTTCACTGGCCCCTGAGCAGTGGCTCTCAGCAGTGATGGGGAGGATTTAAAAAGCAAGCAGGACAAAGGCCACTGGAGAGAAGGACCTAGTGTCAATCCAGGGCCAGTTAGAGGGGACATCGTGGGCTTCTTTCCTTGTCCTTTCCCCAAGGCTTGGGTCCCTATGGCCCGTGGAAGGCTTATGTGGAAGGCTTAGGAATGTCACTGGAATAGAGGAGCATGTTGGAGCCTGGGGGAAGGGTCTCTCACACCAAGTTGGAGACAGTCTCTGCTCCCCAAGGAAGAGAGTGTTGGAAAGAACTGAAATAGGATCTGAAAAAAAAGAGTTCAGTCTCAAATAGATACTGTCAGCGAGTGACAACAATCTGGGAATCTCAAAGCTTATCTATAGCCAAGAGGTGTGGCCGATATTTTGTAGATAGCACTGAGACCTCCCTTTGTGCTCACAACCCCCATGCAGTGGGCTTGCTCGGAGCTTGGTCTCATTTTCATGGTTTCGGGGCAGCCTGGTTCACTGATTTCACTCTAGGAAGGAGAACAACATGGCTGCCCTCTGTATGCCAGGCCAGCTTCTCAATGCCAGGATCTACTCCTTTTTGTTCTTAATAAGATTTATCAGGAGGCCGATCCCTCCTCCCCCACCCCCTCCCCCACGTCACCTCTATGTGACAACCCTGGGAGCCCGAGCCCAGCTGTTACCCTCACTGAGCCTCAGTTTCCCATCTGTAAAGTAGCAAGCATCACAGCAGCTGTTCCTAGTATGGTTACATACACCCACACAGGGTTACCAAGCAAACTTTGCAAAACGTGACTTATCAACTTCACCATCTATCCGTATTACCATGCTGATATCAGTGGTGCAAAGATGACCCAAGCACATGCACGCACGCGCGCGCGCACACACATATACACACACACATACACACACACACACACACACACACACACACACACACACACACTGCAGGGATATAGGCCTAGACTAGCTCAGCTCACTATATATTTATTAATTTCCCACTGAGTACTAGAGAAAAGTTCATAGAAACCCTGCATCAGTCATTGCCCCCCCCCCCATAACCACAGCATCCCTTTATTGCATGTGCCACAGGTGTCAGGGCATAGACAATAAAGCATGTTTTAATACTCGTTAGAGAGTAACCCTCACCAGCCCTGTGAAGCTGAAGCCCTAATCATTAGCTCTGTCTTTGCCTGTGAGGGAGCGGGGTGGGGGGGGGGAGGCACATGGATCAGTAGAAACGAGAATGAGAAACCTGAAGGTTCTGGCGTGGAGTTCCCAGCCTCACTATGTTACTGCCCTTGATGGAGCTTGCTCAGCCTGGAGGAAGGAGAGGGACGTCCAGGGCTGGGTCGACAGGACGTAACATGCATCCCCAGGCGCCAGGCCTACCCTAAAGGAAGGACAGTTGTCTTCAGCTAGAAAGTGAAGAGGCAGATGTAGACACCGCAGATTTAAGAGGACATCTAGACATCAAGACCAAGGGCATGGTGTAGGCCCAGCAGTGAGGCTTCTTGGTCAACCCCAAGGGATTGAGAATGGGCCGTCTGTCCTCCCAGGCAGCATACCTCCAGAGACTGGGGGTGAACACTGCGGTCTTCGAGAGGCGCCATGTGATTGGGGGTGCAGCTGTCACTGAGGAGATCATTCCAGGTGAGCCCTGAGAAGTGGGGGGAGGTGCAGGGGTGATCACGGGTGACTGGATCTCCTTACTTGGTTCTAGGATTCAGGTTCTCCCGGGCATCCTATCTCCTCAGCCTCCTGAGGCCGCAGATTTTCACAGACCTGGAGCTGAAGGTACAGCTGCCCCTCTTGGCCTGGTCATCGGTCAAGGGTTGGGGTGATTCCATCTTCCTGACCTGGGAGGGAGGCATCATACCCATACCCCCATCAGCTCTCTCCTTGAGATCTTCCCTCTCTTCCAGACTAGCTATCCCACACATCACAACATGCCATAGCTTGATTTTATTTCAGCTGCCCTCTATTTTAAAGGCTTGGAAATCTCAACTGAGAAACAGGCCTCTTGTAAAACAAGGTCTGTTAACATCAGAACTTCGAACTGTATGGTAGCACCTGGCTGGGGGGGGGGAGTTGGGGGTTGGGGGCAGGGAGGGAGCTTCCATCTCTGTCCTGGCTACCTTTGCCTCCTGGCATCTTACCTAGTCTTCATAAAGCCCCTGCATGTAGCTTTGGGCACCTGAGTTTGCAAAGCTGCCTAATATGCCCTTGTTAAACTTCGGCATATCTACCGCCATTCTCGACAGCATGAGCAGGGAACAGTGTCACAGTAAGCAGCGTCCCCTTTGCGTGTTCTTGGTCTCAATGATAAAAGAATTTCAAAACAGACAGAAAGGAACTCAGAGACAATTTATTGTAGTTAGAGAGAGATGCCCTCAATGTAGATGTCAAGATAACAGGAGAGCTGGAAGAGGAGGTGTAGACACTTTTTAAATAATGTGCAAAGCAAAAAGTTATGCCAGTGAGACACCATGTAGGCACACCAGAGAAAGGATTGGATACCCACAACCTTATTTATCCTTATTTATTCCCTTATTGAAGATGTAAAAGATTGCCCTCTTCTCAGGATGGCATGGGCCTTGGATGCTCCACTTTTTAAGGCCTAGGCAAAAGGGAATATTTAACCTTAGAGCCATTTGGGTTAGACTTACAGTCTACTAAGAGTTGCTCTGGGTGGCCTAGAACTTGGAGTGTACCTAAAACAGGGAGGAATGATAAGTTCACCCTCAGTTTACCTTTGACTTGTATGACCAGGGAAGAATAGCATTTATTACCATTGTTTTTCCCTTTAATTTTGTTGATGTTGAGCCAGACATAACTACTTGTACTTACTGTCATCAGTTTACCTTTTAGCTCTGTGGCCAGGTCAAAGCCCTAGCCTTGGCTCATCTTTTAAGTCTTTAGTGGCAGACAGCTGAGGACCTCCTCTTGGGGGCGCCAGTGCTGGCTAGAGTGTCTAAACAAGTTATAGGCAGCTTGGAGATTTTCCGTTGCACTCCCTGTTTAATCTTCTAACCTTTCCCTGAAGTGACCCCCCCCGCCCGCCCCCCAGATCCAGGCAATAGGCTTGCAGTGAAGGTCTGAGACCTTTGGGAATACCACTTAGGGGTGTGATAGTACAGTCTTAATGGGGTAGTTATTCCAATTTCATTGTGTTGTGTTGTCCTTGCCTCTGGCTTGGCCTTATTTAGTTGTAAAACGGGACTTTCTCTTTAATGAGTATGGCGATCTTGCAACAAAAGAGCGTCCCCTGCCTCACCTGGTCCAGACTTTTATAGAGGGAGTTACTGACCACCACTGTACCGTTTGTCTGTGGACTGGGACCTCTTCTGGCTTCTGGGCCATTTGGAAGAGATCCTGGAAGCTCTTCCCCTGCCCCTTGTTCTCTCCCAGTCTCCTAACCTTTGTCCACTGGCATGCCTGCCTCTGCCCCCTCCTCCTTCTAGCAGGCTCATGAACTCATGAACTGGGCCATCTCACTCCTGAGGCCCAGGTAGTGCTCTCCTGCCTTGGAGCCTCCTGCAGTGTAACGACTCCTGCTCAAGTGGAAATGAAGACAATACACAGCCACTGCTTATAAAGCTCTTTGCTCTAATAGAGCCAGGTACAAGAGCTGGAGAACTAGGTGATAAGGGAGTCCAAATGGAGAAGTTAGCACTGAGGGAGAAGGATTAGAGAAGAGACAGAGACACAGTATCAGAAATGGGTAGAACTTAGCCAAAGCCCGGGGGTTAGGTCCAGGGTCTTCAATCCATACCATACTGTAACTAAAGGGAATTTGTATTGTGGCAGCTTTAGGGGGCAGAGGCAGCCTCAGTCTTCCCTCCCATCCCTGGAGAATCTTCTAGTCTCTCCCAACCATGGTCCTTACACTCCTGGTTTATTGGGGAAATCTGCCGTTGGTGAGGCTCTCAAACCAGAATGCCAAGGTTCTTGCTCAGAAGCCTGCTTCTTTTGGCGGTGGGACCCAGGAGCAGCCTTTGAGACAGCTGGCCCTTCCCTGTCCCTCTCCACCTGGAGTGGCTGTCATGCTGAGACTCGGGGTAAGCAGAGGAAGGGGCTGCTTTTGGTTTTGACACTTAAAGCTAATTGTGTTCTCTGAACGGACATACCAGGGATAGTTTAGCTTCCTCTTCCTCTCCCTTCTTCCTTCTCATAATTGAATAGTCAGAATGACAGAGGTACCACTTAGAAGCCCTAGAATCAGTTTAAAAAAAATCATCCGTGTTCAATTAGTTACACTTGAAATAACTCAGCTTCCCCTGGGCTGCTTATCGACTGGTTTGTTCAGTGTTCCCAGAGCGCCTGCTTTGTACCGGGCCCAGAACAAGCCTGGAGGGAGGGAGGTACGGTGGGGAGGCAGGGACACAGCAAGAGAACTTTAGTAGAAGTAAGTGACAGAAAGGAAAATGGAAGGCACTGTGACAGGAGGAAGTAAAGTCCGGCCCTTTCGTGGTGACCAGGAACTCCTTCTAGAAGGGATGACACCTGAGCTGATGCTCAAATGGCAAGAAGTCACTGGTCACATGGACTTCTAATCAGAGAGAGCTCTGGTCAGAGAATGTGCAAGTAGGCAGAATAGGACCCTGGGGCCAGAGCAGTCCAGAAGGGATTCAGGGAAGGGGGTGGGGAAGTTCACACCAGGAGGACATTTCATCCTGGAACAGTGAGGAGGCAGAAGGCAAGTTCAATTGGGAAGCAGAGTGGGATTTACAAATGTATAGAAGATTAGTCTTGGCCATGGTGGGGATGGCATGGAGACTTACAGGTACTGGTGGCAGCTGCTCAGTGGACCACAAGATGGCAGTCTGTGATGAGGGCATGGGGCTGGAGAGCAGTAGACAACTCCTGCAGATGGAGCCGACAAGATTTAGCAATATAAGAGATGTCAGTGGTGAGGGGCAGAGAGGAGCTGAGGATGCCCTCCACAGTTAGAGTTCATCACGTTAAGAGGAACAAGGCAGGGGCTGGAGAGCTATCACAGTACTTAAGATCACTTTCTGTTCTCATAGAGGTCCTGGCTTCAATTCCCAGCACCCACATGGCCGCTCACCACCATCTGTAACTCCAATTTCAGAATATCTAATGCCCTCTTCTGACCTCCACGGGCACCTGGCACACAAGGTCTGTCTCTCTCTCTCTCTCTCTCTCTCTCTCTCTCTCTCTCTCTCTCTCTCTCTCTGGCACACAAGGTCTCTCTCTCTCTCTCTCTGGCACACAAGGTCTCTCTCTCTCTCTCTCTCTCTCTCTCTCACACACACACACACAAAATACCTGTATACACAAAATTAACCTTTAAAGAAAGGACCCAAGGTAGAAGTTGTTCCAACCTGTAATAATGATTTATCAACTTTAATGCTTAAGAATAAAGCTCGAAGTTGCCCCAGCCCAGTCCCTACCCACATTTGGATTCTGCACTGTAGAATCCCGATGCCTGGGTGATGGTGTCCACTAGGAAGTCTCTAGTTTGAGCATCTCCTGAGATGCAGGTAGGGTCTTCTTTTACTTTCTTGCTTTTATCTACTGAAGCTCTATCTTGTCAGCAACATCCAGTCACTAGAACACTTAGTGAATGTGCCACGCCCGTATGAGGGATACAACAGTGACCAAACAATGTCCCCACCTCAAAGTACTTCTGTTTTACTCAGAGAGGTAGAGACAAATGTATATGTAGTTAACATGTGATGACAAGGATTTTGGTTAAGGGGACAGAGAGCCTGCCAGTATGGTTGGGGCCTGGGTTGAGGCTTGCTGGTAATATCTGAGCAGAGACAAAGAGAGGGAACAGGCCATGGGACAGGACAAAGAAGTTTCCAGAAAGCAGCCACAGGTCAGCCCAGGTGATGTTAGCACAGTCTCAGCCACAGTCGGCCGAACTGATGTTAGCAATCTGTTGTTGCCCTGGCTCAGCCATAGTCAGCCCAACTGATGTCAGCCGGTGGTCTGTAACCGCATGACTCCTTTGGAGAAGTGGGTGTGTTCTTAGGAGCTCTGTGCTGGTGAAACATCTGTAAATCAAATCCTGATTTAAATGCATCAGGGGAACCCCTACTTAAAGTGACCTTGTAGAAAGTAAGACTGCCCTGTACATTTTTAAAAAATGATGTGACTGATGTATCTGCCTTGTACATACGGATTTTCACACAACCATTTCTTTACTGTTTACTTTTAAAGTTTACTTGTTTACTTCTGAAGGGAGGGGAGGCAGTTATAGATGAGGATTCCAGGGTCTGGGAGTCATGGATATGTGGTTTCAGAATACAGATCTGCCTTCTAAAGTGATGTGGGACAAATCATTTAATGCCTCGGAACCTCCACTGCTATGTGTATGAAGAGGAATAGCATCTCTAGAGTTGTAGTGTAGTAGTGACTATGAACCTCAGTGCCCTCTCTGATGAAGTAAGTTGTCGGAAGCTGTCTTTGCAGGGCTGCAGTCAGAGCCAGCCGCAGCCCAGGTTCATACCTGAGAGGGAGAGTGTGGACTAAAGAAAGTTAGCTGAAGACGGTAAAGGAAAAGACAAAGACAGAATAAACGCAGGAGGGCAAATCAGTCAATGCTCTTATATGCCTTAACCAAAAAGGGGAACATGGTGTCATATTATATGGAACAAATAGACTTTTCTTCCTCTTTTCTCCAAGGATTCAATAACCTCAGCTTAGATTCGACTTCTCATTGCCTGGCCTTGAGGGTCAGGAGTAACCACACCTCAGACCAGGTCTGTTGTTATTTAGCCAAGACACCAAAGGCCAAGATAGAACACCCTACTGTAGCCACACCTCTGACCTTTGGGTCTTATGACTTACTGAGGACACTTTGAACTCTCAGCCATCTTGTGGGCACCGGCAGTGAGTGTAGTGAGTGTGGGTGTGTGGGTGGAGTGTTGTGATGTGTTAGGTGTGGGGTGCAGGTGGAGTGCTGTGCCATGGCCTTATTGGTCTATCCGTGGACATTTAGTCAAGAGAGTTCCCTGTAACGTCTATTAAAAAGATAGGAACCAGGTCTGTACACCTTGGGACCAATCACAAGCACACCTAACTGGTCACACAAATGGGATCGGAGAAAGGCCAAGGGGAGAAACATGGATCCCTAAAATGCCCGCGCTTTTTGTGTTCTGCAGAAGCATGGGCTGAGGCTTCACCCCAGAAATCCCTACTCCTTCACCCCCATGCTAGAGGAGGGCACACTGAGCAAGGCACCCAGGTCCCTTCTGCTGGGCACAGACATGGCTGAAAACCAGAAGCAGATCTCTCAGTTCTCACAGAAGGATGCTCAGGTATGGAAGGTCGGCAGCCCGTAGCAGGCTCTTGAGGGGAAAATGGATGTCAAGGCGGCGGGGGCTGAGCAGGCCATGGACAACTTGGTCCATTCTAACCTTTGACCTTAGGCATTCTGAGAAGGGTGGTGGAGACCAGTGGAGACTGGAGCTCCTGGAGCCTGTGTATGCTCATCTGAAGCTGATGAGCAGGTGGTCTCTGCATGCTGAAAGCGAGAAAGGAATCCCTGGAATGCATTATCCCCTGCTTTTTACTCAGAACTCCACATGTTACCCATCCTAAAGCCCACAAGAAGAACTTAGGACCAGAAAATATTCTTTCAGTTTGACATCAATCCATGACAGCCAAAGCAAGGAAATGTCTGTGGTGGTGTGCAAATCTGCCTCCCAGAACACACACCAGATGGAGAGTGCAAGCTGCTTCCTGCAGATCTGGTGCAGGAACACGTTTGCTGGCTTTGTCCAGATGAGTCAGCGGGTGATGCAATGGGCCTGGTATGGAGGGTTCTGCAGTTGAGGAAATGTTCTAAAATGGCCGCTCTTACAACAGCCTGGGTGCCAGCTCAGTGGAGGCATGTTTATGAAGGAAACCTGCGTTCATGCAGTCCATGCACTTGCTTTCTGGTGTGCTAATCTAGCATTGGGCAAAATCCAGACAGCCACAAGCAAAAGCACTTTCCCCGTTACCCAGAGTATCCTAAGCCTGGCTGTGTTAGCTGCTATTCCTCAGACTGTAACAGAATACAGACTAGAAGCAGCTTAAAGGAAGAAGGGTTTGTGTGGCTTGTTGTCGGAGAGGGGACAGTTCGTGATGTTGGAAAGCTACTGTGCTGTCGGGAAGGCATCGTGACTGGAACAGCTCACACACAGCTGTGGCGGCAGGAGCGCGAGGTGCTATTGTTTCTTGTTGGCTGTCAGGAGAGCTCAGTGGAAGCAGAGCCAGCCTGTATCTCTCAGAGCTTGCCTGTAAGCCCTACATCCTGCCAAACAGTCCTGTGTCATCTCTGAGCAGCAGCATCTCATCCCCATACCTGAGCCTGTGAGGGATGTTTCTGGTGGAGATCGTAGCACCTGGCTGACAACGGAACTGCCCTGCTGTCATCAGGAACATCCGATGCAATGGGCTGAGGACCCATCTCGACCCTCACCTAAATCCTGCCGCTGTTGGACATACCTGTGGACATCAGTGCAAAGCCAGGACTCAGTGCCAGTGTGCCTACCTGCTAGTGGCCACACCATGGGAGGCCTGGGGCATTTCCCAAGGAACCCAAAGACCTCAGTTCATGGTTTGGGCTTGAAAGTTGTCATTTGGCAAGCCTGGTCTAGGGGAAAGATAATTAATTATTTAAATATGATTTTAAGAAGTTATTTACCATAGAACTTTATGTAATACGGCAACTTCCTGGGCTTATCCCTATGTCTAGCTGAGCCCAAATTCAAAGCCCTGGACTAAGAATCACTAAGAACTTCTAACAGTGGCAACTTCCATCCATCCCTGTTCCCATCACCAGCCCACGGGGGGGGGCAGAGTCTAGGGCTGGGGGGGGGCTGCTGAGTGAGAGGATACAGGGTTCTGTGGCTGTGTGGGATGAGGCAGCATGTCAGACTGAGAGATGAAAGAAATGGTCAGTATGCTGGAGAGACATCTGCCTTCCACCAGCCACAAGCAAAAAAACATGGAGCTTCTAAATGGTTTTTTATCACAGGGTTTATACCTGTACCCTCAGACACTTGACACTTTTGTGTAGCTGGTTTTGACCCATGCTGACCTTTGGCCCTGGTGGCTGTTCTCATGCACAGGCTTCTCTGCCCTTCACTTGTGACACATACATGTGGGAGGGAGAACTGAGCTGAGCCACACCTAGGCTTATAGCCCGAGGAGATGCCAGGGCTGCGCTAGGGGGCATGACGGCCATATGGAAGTGTGATGCAGAAGACAGGCATGGGGATGGTGTCCTGTGGGGTTCTGGACCATGGAGGGCTAAGCTGAAGCTCTGTTGCAGGCCTTTCCCAGGTACGAGGAGTTCATGAGACGCTTGGTGTTAGCCATCGACCCCCTGCTGGATGCTGCCCCACTGGACTTAGCAGCCTTCCAGCATGGCTCCCTATTACAGAGACTCAGGGCACTGTCCACACTGAGGCCCCTGCTGAAGGCAGGTAAGTCTGAAGTACAGGAATCAGGGTATGGAAAGTGACCTCCATGGCAACAAGCCCACTTTCGGGATGGAGACCTAGCTTAAAGCTCCAAGACAACCACCAGTGTGTTACACCTTTGGGGAGAAAGGTATCCTGGCAGTCAGGAGCCAAGGAAGGAATACCGCAAACTCACACCTCACAGCAAACAAGAGATTTACTTGGAGAGACACAAGAAGGTGGCTGCCTCTGCTTGGGCAAGAATCAGCAAACAACTAGGGGGAGGCAGGCTTTCTTGGGGGTGGAGCTTTCCAGGGTGACCTGGGATTGATGGGATTCTGTGGCCTGATCTTGGGCTTTTTTCTGTAGGGCAGAGCTTGGCTGACTGAGTCTTGACCAGATAGGCAGCTAATAGACCATGGACCACAGAGACTGCCAGGCACTCCCCCCAAAATTTCAGCCTACCCTACCCTAAAAATAAGGCCCAAGACAAAGGGTTGTGTTTACTTAGAAGGGTGACCCCAAGGCACCCAAAGAGGGGAATGAAGGAAGACACTCCAGAGTGAATTAGTTACTTTGTGTCACTGTGATAAAATACCATGACCAAGTGACTTAGGGAAGGAAGTGTTTATTTTAGCTCACGGTTTCAGAGGGTTAGAGTCCATAATGGCAAAGTCAGCGTGGCTGGAGGTGGCTGGAGCAGGAAGCTCATGGAACACATTCCACCCTCATGCGGAAAGCCAGAGTAAAAACTGAAAGGAGGGAGGGGCTGTAAACTCCTAAGCCCCACCCCCAGTGACGCACTTCCTCCAGCAAGGTTCCACCTCCTAAAGGTTCCAAATAGTGCCAACAGCTGGGAACAAGTGTTCAAATATGTAAGACTGGACCTGGACCGGATTGGGGGGAGGATGTTTTATTCAAAACACTTAGAGGAAACACCAGCACTACGGTGCATGTTGGCACTGGCCATGGATGATGGGTGATAAGACACTGGTCCTGCTGAGACTCTCTGTGGAATGTACTTTATAGGAGGTATGTAGGTCCTGTGCTATTTCCAAGAGAAGGAAGGGGCCTTGTCTCCCAAGGGGTTCCCTAGTGAGACAGAGGCCTCTGGGCCATGCATCTGTAGATGAAGTAATACGGTGCCCGAGAAGCCCAGAGAAGAAAGGAGAGGCCCATATCTCAGAGGCCTTCGCTTGATGCTGTAGGAATTCTAGTGTGTGATTCACATCAGAGCACAGAGCTCATTGCCACAGCCACAGCTAGAACACTATGTAAGAACCAAGAGAATTTGAAGAGTTGCCTCTGAATGAGAAAGAATACTAAATTTAGACCAAAAATACTGAAAGGTCTGTGATCAATTAGGGAGGTCTGCCATGGATCTGTAATAGAAGCTTGATCAAGAAGTGTGTTGTTATTTTCTACCACTCTTTGGGTACACAGACAAATTCCCATATCCTAGAAAAATACTGAATCAGTTAGCCATGGTCACAAGAAAAAGAAAACCCACAAAACTCCTTTGGCATCTAAAAGTCCCATGGCTCTTTGTAGTTTGGTTGATCCTAGCAGGCTCAGTTGATCTGGTCTTGTCTCATGCACATGTCTGTGGCTGGAGGCAACCAGTGGTACCCACTCTGCTCTCCGTGTCTGTCCTGTGGGGAAGCAGCGTGCTACACTGGGCGTGTGCTTCTTACTTCAATGGGACAAGTCCTGCTGCCTAGGCCAACTGCGAATCTCCATTTGTGATGCATTTATAAATATTCCGTTGGCTGGCAAGTCATATAGCTAAGTCCTGAGTCAAGGTACACAGTAGGCCAGGCAGCTATAGTGGGTGGTCATCGCAGAATTTATAAAGCAGAAAGAGTCTGGAAATGGAGGAAATGAGTGGACTTGGTCATCAACACCAAAAGGAGACATTCCTTTTCAGAAGCTCCAGTGCTAGGAGCTTCATGCAATAACCATTCATTACGATAAATATTTATTAAGCAACTACTTTTGCCAACTGCTAAGGTATGCAGAGGGCCAGAACCCTGTCCTGCTACTAAAATGTAACTGGTGCCCACAGAATTACAGGTCTTTCCTGTTTCATATAATCCTTATAGTAACACGTAAAATATGTCTTCAATATTATGGAGAAACAGGCTCAGAACTGAAGATGGTTAAAAGGGGCTCAAAGGGGTGAAAAGCCCTTGAATGTCACGTTGTCTCCACCAGCCTCTGTCTCTTCCTGTTCTTTCTTCCCTGGAGATGGGAGCAGAGTCTCCTCAAGGCCTGTCTCACTGGCTGTTTCTGCTTCTCTTTCAGGACGCACCCTGGGAGCCCAGCTCCCCCAGTACTACCAGGTCCTCACAGGCCCCATCTCCAAGGTGAGTGTGGCCAGATGGCTTAGGGACCTCTCCTGCCACCCAGGCCCTCGAGCCTTTCTGTGGCTTTGCTCTCCAGGTACTAGACCACTGGTTTGAGTCTGAGCCTCTAAAGGCTACTCTGGCAACAGATGCTGTGATCGGAGCCATGACAAGTCCCCACACTCCAGGGAGTGGGTGAGTAGGGACCAAGCCCACTGGCGGGGAGGAACTGATGGAGGGGAAGATACTCTCCAATGAGAGGAAGCTCACAGACCACCGTTTTCTGAGCCCAGCTAATGCACCAGTTGTGAAGCTCGCCATATCATGCGTGTTGACTGAACTCTCAGGGTCACATCTGAAAACTGGAGTTCAAAGAAGTGTTCTGCCCAAGGTCACATGGCTAATAAGAGGCATGTGCTGTCTGACTCCCAGGATTCCTTCTTAGCTGATCTTTCCCACTCGTCTCCAGGAAAAGCCTCTTCATGCTCTCTGTCCCCACCCTGCTCCTCCTCACCCTCCTGAATTCCGTAAAGCCCATGTCTCTGAGAAGCTGTCCGGCTCTGTGAGCAGATCTGTCTAGAGGGGCAGTCAGACACAGTGAGGGCTGTAGGTTGTGCCTTGAATGCCTAAGATGCAGCTAGAGTTGTCAGTGTGGCTTATCTCTCCAGGATGGAAACACCCCCCAGGAAGTGGCTTTTCAACAGAGGCCAAGCCAGTCCTGAATTCCCCAGGGCTGGGAGAAGAAGCATCAGCAGTGTTTGAGTCACTCTGCCAAGCTCTTAACTAATCAGCCAATGTACATCTGGGGCCTCCCATCCTTTTCTCTCGGGTCTTAGGGAAGCTGAGCTACTGGCCAGCTTGCACAACGTGCCTTTTAGAAATCCATTGCTTAACAACAATTGTGGATGAGCACTGGCCTGTGCGTGGGGGCTGGAGACACAGTAGTCAAGGGACCGGAAATCCTCCCAGGAGAGAGACCCAGAGCAAGAAGAGACCACGAAGCGTGGAGTGTGTTCTAATAGTGAGTGAGCAGGGAAAACCACCCTGCTGTAAAAAAGACCTGAAGCAGGAAATGTTTGGTCTGAAACAAGGGGAAGAGAAGGGGTTTGCTTGAAAACAGGTGAGGAAGGAAGAGATTCCAGGCCGGTGGCACAGCACGTACAGAATCTGCAGTGGCACAGAAACGCCACTCCAGCAACCAAAGGGACTCAGCGTAGCAGGGGTGACCAGTGTGAGGCAGCATGGCAGGACCAGGCTGACACCAGGCAGGAGCCATGGACACCACCTAACGAGACTGGCCTTCCCCCCTCCCCCAGACAATAGTGTGCAGCAAAAGCTTTGAAAGGAAGGCTGTCAGGGTCATCTGAAGGCTGACAGGATCCAAGCTCCACAAGGGGTGGCCTCCAGGGAAGCAAGAGCTGGGGAACGCAGGTGGCCCTGGTCTGCCTGGGGGGTGGGGGGGGAGAGGCAGCTAGCAGTGGCATCTGAGCATTCTGCTGAGTGGACACATGGTCAAGATGACACCAGGCTTTCTGTCGGGACCCGGAAGTGCCCTTCATTTGTGTGGAGACCCTGAAAAGCTCAGAGAATGACAAAGGAGCTGGGTTTAACACACAGGCCAGAAATGCACGCATGAAGAGATGCCTACAAGAGATAGATACAGGCGGGTGCCTGGAAGGATTGTGGCACAGGGAGGCTGGAGTCCTGTGTCACATATATGCACAGGGAGAGAGTGTGGCATGAGGTGGCAGGGCTCTGAGCTCCTGAGAGGCTCGGGGAAAGGGCTGGACTGGGAAGGAGGAGTTGAAGGTCCAGGACAGAGTGTTATCTGCATCTGAAACTGAGATGGGCTCGGCCTCAGCCCCTGCTGCTCTGCCGTCTGTCCTCAGGTATGTGCTGCTTCATCACGTGATGGGGAGCCTGGAGGGGATGCAGGGCGCCTGGAGCTACGTCCAGGGTGGCATGGGTGCCCTCTCTGATGCCATTGCAAGCTCAGCTACTGCCCATGGAGCAAGTATCTTCACAGAAAAGGTGTGGGCCCCGCTCCCCAACGTGGGCTGTTGGCCTGGATTCAGGGTAGAATAGTCTACCTCCGATTTAGAGATATCCTCAAAGTACTGATGAACAAGGGAAGCCCAGAATCTGTGCTCTACACTTCTGAGGCTGCTGGCAGCTGAGTAGTTGTTATCTAGGCCTAGCCATCTGGTAGATAGGTTGCATTAAGGTCCCACAGAAGCCTCTGGTTTGGGGCATAGTTGGGGCTGAGGAAGCTTGGGTGTCTACAAGCCACACCCTCTATTCTCAACCTGGCCTTCCTTCTGGGGGCTTCGGGGTCTCCTGCTGGGGCTTCAGACTGTGGCTAAGGTGCAGGTGAATGGTGAAGGCCACGTTGAAGGAATCATACTGCAAGATGGCCAGGAGGTGAGGAGCCGAGTCGTCCTGTCCTGTGCCTCGCCACAGGTCACCTTCTTGGAGCTGACACCACAGGTGAGGTGGTTCAAAGCAGAGGTAAAATATCTGCATACAGGGCTTGGACCATGGGGCAGGGAACCCAGATTACACCAGGGTGAGAGATCCAAGAACTAGACCTTCTCTGAGAAAGGCGGCAGCTTGCGGATAGTAAGGAAGCCTGGTGGATGAAAGGACCCAGAGCACACCTTGGCCTACAATAGGCCAAGCTATTGCCAGAGCCCAGGTCTGCCTTTTAATTCTTATGACTTGTCTACTGCCTAGATTTGGTTTTTCCCCTCTCACGGTCCCTGATTCTACCACCTGTCATTGATCTATTGCAATATTAATACTGGGAATGGAGGTTTGGGAGGTTTTTTTTTTTTTTTTAGCACAGTCGTAGTTTCTGGGCAGATATGGCCCCAGCTATAGACAGGGAGAAATCGGTTGATCTTGACTGAGTTGCTGCTGGGGCTTGCCTGTCACCTGCAGTGGCCGTGTCTCTGCTGGTCTTGACTGGACTCAGTTCTGTGAATGGGAACTGGCTGGCTGTGGTTGGTCCAGCCTCTACGGCCTCTGGCACAGGAGCACCAGCATGTTCTCTAGCCTGGCAGAGGGCGGCAGCAGGCAAGCTCAGCCATGTCAGCTCCAGATTGCTTACTCTGGATCCATCTTATTTGCTGACATTGGCTAAATCTCCCAGCCAGTCTAGGGTGATGTGTGAGTAGTGTGGAGGCAGGGGATACTGTGGAGAAATATGGAAAGGGGCGTGCATCCAGGAAAGGCTTGGGAACATTGGGATTGACCACACCTTCCCTGTCCCTGAAGATAAGATAATGTGTGTCTGAGAAGGTAGTCTCATCCATACGTAGGCCTGCTCTTGGGGGCATAGCATTACTGTGTCTGAATATTTCCACGCACAAAATTCAACAACTCTCGGTGCACAATGTTAAGGCAGTATTAAAGTAGCAAAAGCTATGGCTGGAAGGATTAAGATGTATAGAAATACCTATTCCTGTCCCAACAGCTACCCCAGTCAGGACAGTGGGCCAAGTGCAGAAGACATGCTTTGCCTAGAGTCGGGGACTCCAGGAAGTTCTCTAAGAAGAGGTAGTTTGGGGGCTGAGTTCTGAAGGAAGAAGATGTTCTCCTCAGGCAGAGGTTGAAGGACTGGTCTGGGCAGCTTCTCCAGGCCTTTCACAGAGCTTTCTCCTTCCAGGAGTGGCTTCCAGAGGCCTTTGTGAAGAGAATCTCCCAGCTGGACACACAGTCTCCTGTTACCAAGATCAATGGTAAGAGATGCCTGATTGCATCTGCCTTTGTGAGAATCTATGTGAGAATCTCCAAGTCAGGGAAACCCAGCCACACTGCCTGTCCCTCCTGACACCAGCTTGTCACCAGCTTGTCATACTTATAGACTTTGGACCCATTGCATGGACAAGCAGGTCATGACTACAGAGGGAGGTCCCTGCAAGGCTGGGGACCTGACCTGGCCCTTGGCTCCTCAGTGGCTGTGGACAGGCTTCCAAACTTCCGGGCAGCCCCCAATGTTTCCAGGGACCAGCCACAGCCACATCATCAGTGTTCCATCCACCTGAACTGTGAAGATACCCTGGTCCTCCACCAGGCCTTTGAAGATGCCAAGGGTGGCCTGCCTTCCCAAAGGTAGGTGAGACCTGGCCTTTGTGTCCCCTATGTGTTTTGAGGCAGGGGCCTGGCCTCTTCTACCTGGCACTAAACCTTCAGTGTCCATGTTCCAAGAACACAAAATGTATCTCAGAAAAGAAATGTAGACATCAGAGCAGTGGAAATGAAGACTGGGCCGTGCTAGGAGTGTCCCGGGTTAGTGGAGGACAGTCCCAAGGGGAGGAGCACTCAAACTGGGCGAGAGAAGGGGAATATGGTGACTCAGCAGAAGCCACGCTCACTTAGCCCCTAGTGCATGTCTGAGGGGCCCCTTCACCCAAGCTCCTAAAAGCACCCCCTCCCAGCTGTGTCTCGGTCCCTTAGAGCAAACAGCAGGCAGGGCTCTGTGAGGCCTACACTGTCCATCCTCTATGTTGTTCAGTAGGCATGTGCTGGGGTCCTGCTCAGTGCCAGGCTCCACACCAGGCACAGCTTGTGGAACCTGGGGTGTAAAGCAGGCAGAAGTTTATAATAGGCCTAGTGTATGAGAACTCACAGCATGGGGGTGGGGGCTGGAGAGATGGCTCAGCAGTTAAGAGTATTGACTCCTCTTCCAAAGGTCCTGAGTTCAATTCCCAGTGCCCACATGGTGGCTCATAATCATCTATAATGAGATCTGAAGCCATCTTCTGGCCCGCAGGGACACAGGCAGGTAGAGCACTGTTTACGTAATAAATAAATAAATAAATAAATTAATTAATTAATAAGAACTCATGGCATAAGATGAAAGAGCTGCTAGGTTGCTCAGACACAGAGCAGAAAGAAAGACCCACAAGATCTCTTCCTCTGCGCTGGCCTCTGCTGCCTAGAAAACAGCCGACATTGTGCACTGTTAACGGGCACTAAGGAGCAAAAGAAGGCAGGCCAGGGGAGGTCTGCTTTTTCAAAGAAGGCCCCTCTGAAGCTGTGACACTTGAGCAGTACGTTGAAGGAAGCGAGACAGGTTGTGGGAATATCTGAGGAAGAACCCCCAGAGAGAAGGGCAGGTGTAAAAGCCCCAGGGCAGCGACACGCTGCTGTATTGGGAACATAATGACAAGGCCAGAGTGGAGGGTGTGCAGCCACAGGGCTGGCCAGGCATTGTCCACTGCCCTGGCTTTTACGTAAAGAAAGCCTGACGTTTCCTTAGAAAGACTACCCTACCCAAAGTGGACCAAAGAGAGGACTCCTGTTGCAGTCGGTTACTGGAATCAGAATGTGAGGGCAACAGGTCAGTGACTGGGACCTGGGTGGATGGAGCAGAATGGTGAGAAGTGTCTGAGTCCTGGGCATGTTTTAAGGGTAAAGCAGGTGAGGTTTGCTGTTGGACTGGGCGTGGTATGGGAGAGGAGCAACTGGAAAACTATGAGAAAGGGAGAGGGTTCTGGGAGGTTTGGGGGAATGTTAGGCAGTGACGGGAGAAGTTGGTAGATGTCTAAGGTGAGAAGCGCAGCTGGGGGATGCCAGCCTGAGAAAGGACACTTCATATGGCCTTGAAGATACTCATGCGATCTGGGAATGGTTCTGGGGGAATGTTTACAGCATCCCCAAGTCCGTGGCACTCAGGTCCCTTCTGTAAAATGGCAGAGCCTGCACCTAACCTTCTCACATCCCCCTTCAGATCATCAGTCATCTCTGGATGACGTAAAATACCTGTGTGGGTGCTGGGTAAACGGCTGTCAGGCAATATTGTTTATGGAATGATGCCAAGGGGGAAGTCGGCATGGTCAGCGAGGCATAGTTTTCACTTTTTATAGTATTTTCAGCTTGTGGTTGGAGAATGCACAGAGTACCCAGGCATAGAAAGTCAGATATAGCTAGAGATCTGAGGGACTTGTACTTCAGCTGGGAAAGATGGCTGGGCTGTGCGTGGGGCACCATGCTGTGGTGGTTCAATAGGTCTAGATGCTCTGCTTTGTCCTGTTCCAGGTCAGGTTCCTGGGCCAGGTGGGGAGGGACAAGCTTGGTTGGACCCAGGCCACCTAAGCGCCTGCTGACTTGGGCCTCTGACTCCCTCATGGCTCTCACTGCCTGGAGCCTGGTGTTATTTGAGTTGAGGAGCCAGGTTAGAACACAGGTCTCTGGGGAAGGAAGATGAGACTAGAGCACACCTCTGAGCTAGGTGAGAAAGGATCGGAGCTCTGGAATCTGTGGCTGTGGGTCTGGAGGAGCACCGCAGAGGTGGACTGTGGCAACCACCGTGGTCTCACAGTGATAACCAGCCCTGGTTGGTGGTCTCTGAGGACTTTCATTTTGTTTTGTGTCACCTCAGAGTCCTGACCCTCTCTACTCCTCCCACATCACAGACCTATGATTGAACTCTGCATCCCTTCATCACTGGACCCCACCCTGGCTCCTCCCGGCTGCCATGTTGTCTCCCTCTTCACTCAGTATACACCCTACACTCTGGCAGGAGGCAAGATCTGGGATGAGCAGGACAAAAACAACTATGCAGACAAAGGTAAAGAATGCAATACAGGTTGCTTTGCAGAGTGACAGCTGACTGTGGGATCCATTATACACACACACACACACACACACACACACACACGCACACACACACACACACACAGTCTCATTCAAGCTAAACTCTTCCCAAGGGAAGAGACATACCCAAGGCAACCTTATATCAACATGGTGAATGTTGGCTGAGATCAGGCAATAGGTTAAGAAAGCCAAAAGGATAAGGTCCCAGACTAGAGAGATGGCTCAGCAGGTAAAGGCACATGAACAACCCTGATAACCTGAGCTTGGTAATACAACATTCAGTGGAAGGAGAAAACCAACTCCCAAAAGTTAGCTGTCTGACCTCCACATACACACTGGACCACACACACACATGTACCACACATGTATACATACACACACACACACACACACACACACCAATATATATATATATATATATATATATATATATATATTTCAGAAGACTCCACTTTTACCCTCCAGTTGCTCAGAGTCCAGTCAGGGAGACTTAATAGGGTGCAGACCACCATAGTGCATTGTGCTTTATGGACCGAAAGAAAGAAGCCACGAACCAGAGATGAGGAAAGCACTCAAGGGACGAAACACTGAACTGGGTTTTGAATGTTTGATGAACGGGAGTTAGACCGAGTGCAAAGAATGTTCCAAGCAAAAGGAACAGCTTGGGCAAGGGAACGAAAAGAAAAATACTTCACATATTCAGGAGGTGACAGAGTCTTGTGGGTAGGTCAGGGTTAAGAAATGAGAGTGTGAGGCTGGGCTGGCTACAGGCATTTTTGGTAAAGCATTTTGCTCGTGAACCATTTTTCATTCTGTTTGTTTTGTGCTTACTGCTATGTAATTTGCATAGGATGAAGTAAACCCCTAACTCATATAATTTAATAGGTTTTAGAAAACTTATGAGTCGTACAACCTTATTGTCGGTTCTTCCGTTTCCACAGTGTTTGACTGCATCGAGGCTTACGCCCCCGGCTTCAAGAGTTCTGTGCTGGCCAGAGACATCCTAACCCCTCCTGATCTAGAGAGAATCTTCGGGCTTCCTGGAGGGGTGAGTGGAGTCTGGGGCCTACTCCCAACCATCTTCCTACCTGTCTCCCTGGCTGGCCCCTTTGGGCTTTACCCAGCCTTCATCAGGAAGTGGTAGGGCTGAGTGAGGAGAGGAGAAGACACAGATACACAGATGCCATTGGAGGAAGTCACCAGGCCTGTAGCACTTCTGCCCGGCTTCCCCATGAGCATCTTCTGGAGAGAGCTCCATCCCTACAGAAACAGGCTCTTGTAGTGAGCTTTACTTTACCAGATATAGGAGATAGGAGGCCAGAAGCTAGAAGCCTGGCTAGGAACCTGGGAGCCTGTGATGAGCCAAAAAGCCCTGTGAGGAATCAGCCCCATGAGGGGGCAGGGAGCCCATGAGGGGGCAGGGAGCCATGAGGAGTCTGGAGTTCCATGAGGAGTCTGGAGTTCCATGAGGAGGCAGCTCCAACCCCATGGACACTAGCCACAGCAGCTACTGAGCCTGACAAAGCCAGAGTGAGCTGAGTGGTGGGTGATACACAACAGTAGAAAACCCAGCATGGACACAAGTGACACTATCATATTAGTACTATTATGTCGATTATGTTCCAAGATGGTCAGAATACACACTTGACATAGATGTCGCCAGTTTGGCTTTTCTTAACTGTGGCTCCTAGTAAATCTAAAATTACATGCATGGCTTTGGACATGTTTTTGTTGTTTTGACAGCACTGGTCCAGACAGAAAGCAAACAGCCAGAGAGTGGGAGGGACATCACAGACTGTGGATGGTCAGTGTGAGGCAGGGGTGGGTGAGAAGCGTTGGTGACAGTATGCTCTGGAGGGAGGGCATGACATGGAGGTTGAACCAGAGGCTGAGGGCAGGATGGCAGTGTGATCATAAAGGCAGGGTGACTTGAGGGGGGCAGGCTTGGGGGTGAAGTGGTTCACATGGGGGCCAGATGAGGGGCAGCAAGAGAAGGCCATGGTGACTTCTAGAAGATTCCGGTCTTCTTGTTTAGGATACCCACTGCCTTTCTGGGCTGGTCTGGCCCAAGCCAGGGAGCAGAAGCTGGTCCCACTGTGTCACATCTCCTGCTGACAGAGATGGTGGCTACCCAAAGACCCATGCCCCAGTAGGAGCCTGTGCCAGCTGAGCAAGCCAATCTTCCCAACAGTCTCAGGAGGTTCATGATGCACAGGAAACTCTCAGAGTCCCCCCTTTCTTTCCCACTCAATTTCTCTGCACTCTATAGAGGTCCCTACTCCTCTCCCCAATAAAGCACTGTGGGACTTTCACTCACAGTCTGGGACATGCCCCCTGTCCCCCTCACCTGTAGCCCAGGGAATATTGCCCTCCTCTCTCATACTCAATTAAGAACCCAGGGAAATATTCAGAAGCAGGAGAAACTGGCTTAAAGAATAGAGAGATGAAGAGCCCCTAGGATGGCAAAGCCCATAGCACTCCTATGTTAACAACTGTGGCCCTGCCTCCACAGAACATATTCCACGGTGCCATGTCCCTGGACCAGCTCTACTTCGCCCGTCCAGTGCCCCAATACTCCGGCTACAGATGCCCTATCCAGGGCCTGTACCTCTGCGGAAGTGGGGCCCACCCTGGTGAGTGACGTACTTGCTGTGTGCATCGCAAGGGCTTGTGGGGTGAGGGAGGTCATAAGCTTGCAGACAGAGGAGGATGTGGGAAGCCATCCTCTATGAGGGCGAGCACACAGCAGTATCCCTTGCCAGGCTGCCAAACCCTCAGCTTTTGCTACACACCTCCTTCCAGCTAGGTGTAGAGAGGGACACAGACTGGTGGAGGGTGGAGAAAACTCCTCCAGGGGTTGTGGGAGACTCACATTCCTTAATTTCTTACTCATATTTGAGACCAGAAGGGATCAGTCATGTTTCTCTACTTAGAAATTCTTTGCTGTACCAGCTCCAAGGCTACCTGACTTCGCCGCAGCTGTCATCTCCTGGTGACGCCTTTCTGAGCGGTGGATGAAATCTCCCATAAAGAGCTATGCCCCCTGTGCCCCTCCCCCATTAACACTTCAGCTCTACATGCTGTGTGCTCTAAGTGCCTCCCTGCAGTCTGGCAGACTGAGACCAGTGTGGCCACTGCCTGCCCTTCCCCAGCTGTGCGTGGAAGCTGCAGGGAGCCCAGACAGTGTGGTTATTGTTCCAGCTGTGGCTGCTCGCCGAGTCCCACCCTGTCCCTTTCTGGTGGACTTCTGAACGTCGTTTTGGTTCCAGGAGGAGGCGTCATGGGAGCATCTGGACGGAATGCAGCCCACGCAGTCTTCAGGGACCTCAAGAGCATGTGATGCTGGACCGACTCTGGCCCTGGGAGAAAAGCTTTCCCTGTACTTGGGAGCCGCCTATCAGGCCACCTGCCCCTGATGCCCTGCTTGGAAGGATACCACTGGGGACAACTGCATCAACAAGGCACCATTGAGCTGAACCAGGGCCTGAGTTACAGGTTAGCACAGCTTCACCTGTGTCCCAGGCCTTATGGGCTGCCTGGATAAAACAATGTTTTGTACAGAGACTGTTTGTACTGTCTTCCTATGTGTCTGCAGGTGGGAAAAACTTGGCATGCCAGCTGGACACTGTCCCTTTAACAAGTGGGAGAACTTGGTCCAACTGTCCCCTTCTTGTCAATTGGGTTCCCACTGCCAACTGATTGGAGGGCTGGCCTGCCAAGGCCCAGTCAACTACCGTCATATTCCTGTCACTATAAGAACAAATTCCCAGCCCCAGTGACCCACAAGGTCACCCACATGATGGACCTGAACAAAACTTTGCATCTCAAGCCATTGAAACCTCTAGTTAGGAGATAGCAGTGGGTTCATCAGAAGCTGCATGGGTGCCCCCCTCCTGATACAAGAGCTCTCCACCTTCTGCTTGCCAGATTCTAAATCTGCCATGTCTGTCCTAAACATTTCACATAAACAGGTGTTGTTCTGCAGTAAGCTAGTCTGCCACTATCATTCAGGAAAAAAAAAATATCCACAGGACAGCTCTACTACAACACAACTGTGTTGGCAGCCTCTCCATGTTGGGTTAAAGGCCACCATCCCAAGCTGTCCCCTCTGTAGGTCAGATAGAAGATTCTTGGGGCTTCCACATCTAACCACTTCTTCAAAGACAATAACCATTACCTCTTTTACAGTATTTCTAATTCGTCTCCCACACAATCAGGATATGTTATAATGTTCTTAGTGTGATTTACAACTGTCTTTTTTGAAATTTACTTCCTATCAAAAACTATTCAGTCTTATGAGAGTTCTTTGGGGAACATTTTTAATAGCTGTCTAATATTCCCAGGCGAGGACGAAGCATAATTTATTATGGAACAATCAATCCAACCTTGACCTTGATTGCTAAATGACACCAGCCCAAGGCCAGGCAGCTGCTCTTTGGCATTTCTTCTCCTGGAGGGGGGGCTCCCTAATCAAAGCCTGGCTCCCAGGCACAGCTGCTGGCCACTCCTGCTAGCAGAGAAGGAACTGGAAGAGGGAGGCTGATTTAACTTTGTGAGGAAGGACTTCCCACTGTTTGGAGATTCCCCACCGGATGTCTCACATCTCTGAAAGATACAGTTTTTGGTCCAGATGGATGGAGAGAGAAGATCAGGCTTCACTACTGTGGAGTGTCCCGGCTCCTCCAAGGCCCTAGCTCATGCCACTCCACTGAGAAGGGTGGGTTGGCCCTGCTCAAAGTGATGGCTCTGCAGACTGGCCATGAATCAGGCAAACAGGTCCCTTGCTGAGTTCAGCACATAAAACTCTTACCGGGATAAACAAGTCAGGGCCTTCCCCTTACCTGATTTACAGCTGCCTGAGTCCCCAAGCAGAGGGAAACTTCCTCCCAGGCGCAGATCTTTAAGAACCTCGAGTGCACAGGAAGCTCACCTGGTGAAGTCATTATGTCACCGGGCGCCAGTGACAGTGAGCAGAGGCTCAGCGACATGTGAGGTTTATTGCTCCGGAAGAGATCTGGCTGTCCTAGTGGGAAGAGGGCCAGATGCAGGGAAAGCAGTGTTCCTCGTGAGTTTGCTCAGCAGCTGACAGCCTGGGTTCTGGGACACTGATAGGACTCCAGTGGTGGAGGACAGGACACAGGGGAGGACGGGACACAGGGGAGCACAGAAATACATCTGAACAGGGCTGGGGAGGGATGGGAAGTTAAAAGAGAAAAGAGAGAAGGAGTGGGATACAGATTAGTGAGCCTGAAAAAAAATTGGCTTTCTCTTTTTGATTTTTTTTGGGGGGGCGGGGTTCCTCTGTATAGCTTTGTAGACCAGGCTAGCCTCGAACTCACAGATATCCATCCACCTGCCTCTGCCACTCAAGTGCTGGGATCAAAGGTGTGTACAGCCACCACCCGTAGGGAAAAAATATTTAACCTCATCAGAAGTTAACTAACTGTGGTCCAACCAGATGATAATATTTTACCTGGAAAGTTTTAAAACGTTGTGATAGAAAATTAGCATTGTGGATCTTCCCTGATTTTATTTGAATTTTGTCAGCTCTATAACACATTTGTCAGATCAACAGTTCTACAGCTGGCTGGACAGGCCTCCCAATAACAAAAGAATTGGAAGATAAATTAAATGATATTGAACAAAGAACTCAGGATGCAGTGATCATCCAAAACAATGCTTTAAGATGAAATAATAAAGGAAGGGTAACTTGGCTTGATTGTTCAGGGCCTGAAACATGTAGGTGGCTCAAATGCTATTGTATATAAAAAGGAAAATGATACCTTCCTCACCAAGAAGCTTCAAGGATGATAGCTCACATAGCTTTCCAGAATGTGTGCATACAACCCTCTGATCCAGTGGGTCCATTTCTAGGTAGAGAACCAACAGAAATGTGTTTGTGTGCTCACCCCCAGACACACAGATTTCAATTTTCTGAATTTAAGAGCACTGGCATAGACCGTCCTGAGTGAGCATCCTTAGATGGGATCCTGAAAACCTGAACCTTTGTGAGCATGGGGCCTTCAAGTCGTTGGGTTTCCAAGCATTTGGGATATTAGATTTTCAGATTAGGGTACTCGACCTGTCTTAGTGTGCAGCACTGTTTACAGCACCTCTACTGGAAACTGAACTATCCAGACAGACACCCATCAACCATAGAATGATGAGCTGTAGTTTGATCTGTATTACAGTAATGACGATCTTTTCTACTTCCTAAACACTGTTTGTACTATACATTTGGGATGTTGCAGCTTCTGTGTACATAGTATGCTTGCGTAAAAAAAAGCTTAAAACCAACGTGGTACCTGAAACATAGGCCATCTCTTAGTAGCTTCCTGCCTTCAAAGCTCTCATTTCCCAGCAGAGAGGAGGATGAAAGAGGAGAAGGGAAAAGGAAGATGTGATAGGCAGTCCCTCTGGGTCCCCTATCCACGATCCCTGCTTAGAGTCTGTCTTATCTCCCCCCTCCCACAACGAGTATAAATGTAACCTGTGAATTGCTTCTAAACAACAGCATATGACAAAGGTACCTGGAGGTAACACAGCACTCATCTTACAGAATTCTCTCTGGGTCCCTGGCTCTCTGTGGGGGGAAAAGGGAGGCTACATCACAAAACCCCAGGTGGCAAGTAGCTCCAGCCAGCCTCCAGGTAACAGAAGGCCTTGGTCCTGCACCTCAGAGCACCCGATGCTGCCAACAGCTATGTGAGCAGGAACATGAACATCCCCAGCATCCTCCCAATGGGAGTGCAGCCCAGCCAGTGCCCTGGATACAGACTTGGGACTCTCTACACAGAGAGCCTGGATCCTTATACAACTGCAACTGTGTGAGAACAAATGTGTGGTTGTCTAACACCACTAAGTAAACAGTAACCTCTAAAGAGACAAGTAACTACTGTAAGGGAGGAGAGCCACAGCCATGAACACGATGGGAGCAAAGTAGGTCTCACGGTGGGAATGGAAACTGTGCCTCTAGAGTTCATAGTCACTCTATGATCTGGACCCTCTGGTGGCTGGCCATCTGCCCCTGCCCCCCAGAGAGTGACGGCTGGAATAGGTCACTGCTGAGGGCACCAAGACAAACAGCCTGAGAATCCACCGTCACCGGACCTCTGGCAAGTCTTTTGCTCAGACCACTCTCGGTCCCTCTGTAACTAACGGGGATGATGACATTTTGCCTCACACAAGGAAAGTTTTCTTCATTCTCTACAAAATGATAAGTTACTGTGCTCATAAGTGGACCAGACAGAGTGAGAATCATATGGGAACATTGTGGGCCCACCTGGAGGAAAAGGATGAAATGAAAGCCGTCATTTGAAACAGAAGAGAAATGAATCCCCTCCATTAAAGGCATAGGACCTCTCTCCATGGGAGAGGACCCAACAGAACAGCCTCTACCTTGGGACCTCAATAACACCCCCATACCCCCACACACATTCATACACACATGCACACACTCATACACAGGCATGCACACACACACACACACACATACACACACACACACACACACACACACACACCTCTACAATAAACCCCAGCGACTCATGCAGATCAATACAACAGAACAGGGAAGAAGGAAGCAGGCTGGGCAGCTTGCCAGAGGCAGAAGTCCGAGTGACTGCTATGCTGTATTGCTGGTCCAATAAATCAATGTGCCTTGGAAGGGCTCCTCCGACTCTGTGGCTGTAATTGGAGCTACCTTCCTCAGGGGCTGTGAGCTGTGTTCAAGGTCAGGAGACAAGCTCTGGTATTCCTGGTCCAGCACAAGCATTCTATACCCACCCTGGGGTGAGGCTCTGCAGCTCCTGGAGAAAGAGCTGTGGTGAGCCCGCTTGCAGGCTGCGAGAGGCTAGGAGAAATGGAATGGGGACTGGGCTCTGATGTCTCTCTTCGCTTGATTTCCAAAACTCACCCAGCATTCTCTTTGGATGCCACCTCTAAAACTAGTATCTCCATTCATTTGTTGTTGGGGGACTCGTTGCAACAGAGGTTACAGAACCCCACAGAATCACGTGCCAATAATGGTAGCTGCTTCTTCCTGAGCTCTGATTGTGTGCCACCATGCACCAACTAGGTAAAGCATGCATGTTACTTCCCTTAAGTCCACAATAAGCCAAGGTCCCTTTACAGTAGCCAACTTGGTGCAGCTGAGCACCAGCTCAGTGACCGCAAGTATTTTGCCGATTGTTGACCCAGTCAAGACGAACTGAGGTTTTCCTGGTTTTGAAAGTCATGTTCTAAGCAAAGAGATATACTCTGTCCCAACTAGAGACAATTGGTTGCATGATTACCATATCCCATGGTTGTCCACAAATGAAAAGCAGTGGTCCAGAGTTTCAGCACAGTCACAGCCCAGGGGGGACAACAAAGAGTTCACATGTAAGGATCCCAGATGGCTCCGCTGTGAAACGAACCAGCATGGGCACCTGTGGGATGGAGATAGCTGGGTTGGCTGCTATGAGCTCACAGGGCCAGGAAACTTTCTCTTCCTTCCTTCCTTCCTTCCTTCCTTCCTTCCTTCCTTTCTTCCTTC